GGCCTTCAGTTTCGGTCCAACCCGCACGGAACAAAAACAGTGTGACACCAGCTGTTGCGTTCCAGCTAAATGTGCCTTCTTTTATTATAATTAGGAAGTCACATTTAGCTGGTACACAACAGTTATAAGATTATTTCTCAGACTATCGGGATGTCAAAATCCACAATTGTTGCATCCCTAGGTGCAACATACTATACTTATAAGGAACCTAGTGATTTAATAAAAATCACATTTGTTCATTGAATTTTTGTATCTGATTTACACACTGCATATATCTGGTATAAAATTTCTTGTGTTTTTTATATAGCATTTTATTGCAAAGAAAGAATGATCTCCGCTTTCCTTCCCTGCAGTTACAAAGAGATTTTTCCCATCCTTGACTGTATAGGCGTTTTGATAACTTAAAAACACTGAAAATGTTCCTGACGCTGATCTGAAAGCATCCCCCATTTCTACATACTTCTCTTATCAAGCTTGTTATTGATTCATTGTTGGACTCATGCTTATTTTCTATCCACTGCAGTCCATCTTTGATTGGTTATTCTATGACTGAATGATTAGAGCTGATGGTGCCTCTTCACTCCTCTAATCTATCATTTGGCTGCTCAGTATTGTCCTGTAATTGTGTGAACCTAATCATTACACTCTGAGACACCCGCAGCATCTGGCACTGTGACATGTGAAACCTCTAATATCAGGGTTGCTTTGTCAGAATGTCACGAGTATAACATTAAATTAGTCCCTGTGTGAACATCAGGGACTAAGACTTCCTCTTGAAAAGCTCAGCCGTGAAACATCTCGGTGACATTAGTGGAATTTGTTTATTTTGTCTGACGTTTTGATTGGCTATCATCTGTAACATAAGTGCAAATTTTTTGTGTTTCAGGTAAATTTGAGCCTCCACTCTTTCATCCAAACGTGTACCCATCAGGCACAGTATGTCTATCTATTTTAGAGGAGGACAAGGACTGGAGACCGGCCATCACAATAAAGCAGGTTTGCCAACTTTTCCTCATTTGCATTCTCAAGAACTTAAGCAAAAATGTCCTTAACATCACCTTTCATCTTTTGCTTTGGTCTTGCTCTGTATCTCTAATGTTTTATGCAAGTCTGTAAAATACTGCTGGGAATTCCAGCTAAGCTTTGCATAGTTTTTCAATACACTTTGTTTTAAATTCACCTTTAGTTTGTTGTCATAGATGAAACGCAGATAAATGATGAATAGTCCAGTAGGGAGTCAGTGGGGTGCACCAGAGGTTTAAATTATAATAAATGAAACTGAAGCTTAAAGAATGAAACAGAAGATAATCAAATATCTTTATATTTAAACAGTGTGTCAATCAAATACCATGACATTTCAAATTTCCCCCCTGGGATTAATAAAGTATTTCTGATTCTGATTCTGAAAAGATGCATCATCAATACCTGGGCCCGTATTCACAAACATCCTGAGAATCCTCTCAGACACCTTCTTACATTTTTAGCCGAGAGAGATTTAGGAACATTCTGAGAGCAGCTCTGAGCGAGGAAGACACAGGAACTTTTATCTCAGTGAGGAGGTGTGGTTGGCTGAGCTGCTAGGTATGACACATCTTTTCAGGAGCTATGATTGGTTAATCCCCCCCAAAATTAGAAAAAAGTCTGTTTGATAATTTGTAAGACATACTTTAAAAATATACAGCCTACAAAGTGTCTGAAACACATGCCCACTTGTGCAGGTGAAGAGGCTTAATTAGTGATTGGATGTGACTGTGGAGGTAACCACATAGAGAAACTCAACATGCATGTCTTACTTTGTAGTTTTTAATCCTCCTCACTACTCCTAACAGTTTAACACCTTAGGAGCTCTCTTAACCCTCAGGCATCAGTTTCATTTAAAACCCTCTTAAGTCACTAAGGACAAAAATGTCCACTTCTGAAAGTAGAAAAAAATATCAATCTGTTCCATTTTTATAGCAGTTTTTTGGAAGTGGCCATTTTTGTCCTTTGGGACTTAAGGCCGTGTTCACACTTGACTTCTTTTTTCAACTGCCAGCGCCTTTTTTACATACAAGCCTATGGAAAAATGAAAAAGTATGACGCCTTTTCAAAAAGCGCTGCGCCCGACACCTTTTTCAGTTGAATTATTTCAACTTTTCAGAAAAGCGCTGGGTGACGTCAAGCGCCTTTCTGACAGCTGACCAATCAGGACGAGTAGTAACCAATGTCCGTAGTTACCTGTGCCCAAAAAGATGTCATGCACTCAAAAACGGTGAACTTCCACCAGATATGGGTGCATTTGCGTGTCCGCTCCGGTCTGTTACGGGTCCGTGCATCCGCAGCACGGAGAGCACAGCTGGAGTACGGAGACACAGGAATTTCCGCGGTAATTTAACAGATTCACTCGCGACAGCACGAGATAATACGATTTCGTGGTATAAAACTCAATAAAAACCTTATAAACACATAAACAAACACACAAACAGTCGTTTTTCTGGAAAAAAATAAGTCAAGTGTGAACACGGCCTAAGAGGGTAGTAAACATGTTTCAGTGTTCTGTTGATCTATTAAAACAATAAAATGTGCATTCCAAAATGTGTCAAGAGAGAGGCTTTCTTACAAAAATATGTGCCATTTTGCACTAACACAGACAAAATGATGGCCAGATGAAGAGGAAACATTTGACCAAATGGACAAAAATGTCCATAATGATACATGAGAGTTAAGGGCTAAGATTCTTTGTGAATAACTTGAGGCCAGCTGAGCCAAACGTACGGGGCACTTCCTTTAGTTTTTATTCAGATTTCTTTCACACCTTCATGTTGGGTAGTGGAAGTTCTCAAGACAGCCTTGTTGATTTTGTACATTTTGAACTATGTGAATAAGCTGGTCGTCTGTGTTCTTTCTTACTGCATATCACTTGTTTGTCTCGAAGAAAAGGGTTCAGCCAGCCTGCAGAACCAGCGTAGTCAGTCATAGGTCAGAGTAGATGTTATTGACATCTTGAAGTCCCAGTGTGGACGCAAATATCTTAAGAAATCCTTGTTCAATTAAAGTTTCATATATGGAAACGATCATCACCTCTCAGCTCGATTCTGTTGATTGATGAAAAACAAGAGTCCTTTTTTGATTACTTCTTTGAGATCCAGCTCTCAGCCTCATTTAGTCCTCTATCCCTCAGATCTTATTAGGTATCCAAGAACTCCTTAATGAACCAAATATCCAGGATCCAGCCCAAGCAGAAGCTTACACAATCTACTGGTAAGTAGATGTCATCTCGTCAAACAAGATTCCAAAAGGGAATGTGTATGTGCCAGGGTTGAAACTGGTGAGTTTTACTTGAGCTGTAATAACTTTGACATGTTCAGGCACAGACTTAAAACCAAATGCACTTTTGATTTGTAATAACTCAGTGAAATATTTTTCCTTTTTGTTACATATTATCCTTCCTGTTATCAAAGCAGCTGTTTGTAATATGACAGAAAACCCTCACTATGTGACCTCATGTCCTCATTGATTTGTGTGTTTGCATCCTAAACATTAAAGTGTATTAACTGATAGTTATACTTCTCCATGTCAACCCTGATCAAGATAAATGTCAAGCTTTTCAACTTGGAATAGAAGTCTTAAAGATGACAGATCTTTCTATTTCTGTCAGATCAGCTGAAAAGGGATTCTATTTATTTCCCTTCTGCTTTCAAAATGGTTTTGTTTCTAATTTTGACTTGCATTACAACAAGATAACTTTTTTTGTGTCATCTTTCCAGCCAAAACAGAGTAGAATATGAAAAAAGAGTTCGAGCACAAGCCAAAAAGTTCTCCCCCTCGTAAGGCCGAAACCGCCCCCTCGCTCCGGCAGAAGGAATGGGTTTAACAAGGATCACCTCCCCGCTCAGTCTCTCGATGAATGTGCTCCTCTCACATCAGGACTTGCTTAAAGACTTCTATTTAAACTCCACACATTCTGTGCCATCCGTTCTCCTCTCGCCTATCCATTTTTGTTCTTAATTGCCAGTTGGCGCATAATGCTGAGAGGGGATGGGTGCTCCAGCACCCTGGTTGTTTCTTTTTAAACATTAATTGTCTTATGTGGTGCAAGGGACACAGCTCGCTACCAGTTTCATCAACTCCATGCAGGCTGGCTGTCATCAATGTTCGAAGAAGAAAATGTCTTTGTTTTATTTAGCTCTTTCACAGAGTCTATTCCTTTCTGTTTTCCCCTTTTTATTTTCCATAAATTTAATGTAAAATTAGCTTCTTTCATTGTCAGTATTTCAACTGCTGTATAATGAATGGCACTTTTATACTGTTGTATCTCACTAGTGTCTCTAGATGGCTCTGTCTAATTCTCTTTCCCAGGTTTTCTATTCAGCATGCTGTAATATAAGATAGAATCTGCTGCCTTGGCTGTCTTTTTGTTATTCAGAGTGTTTGCTATGGAATAAATAAAAATGGCCATGATGACTGAAGCAGATAGGCTTACTTCTGTACCAGACTTTAAGGTTATACGGTGCTTTGTTCATGTATGTGTTGGCGTAAATAAAACTTTCTACAAAAGTTTGTGTTTTTCTTTATTCAACTTAACCAGACAGTTTCACATAACTTAACATACTATAAAGTCGTATAACGTTGTTCCAAAAGCAACATGAATAACTTTACTTACTATAAAGATGGGCCTGCCAAAACAACATAGTGATGGTTTTAAGTGCTCAATGTGAAAGAAGAGAAAAACAGATTGTAAAAGTAATTTAACTTAGAGTAGACTTGATGTGCCTCTGTAAAAATACATCTGTATTTTATGTAAAGATCCTTTATTGGGGCGCAGATGGCCTAGCAGTTAGGTTGCGCACCATGTACTGAGGCTTTAGTCCTCCAAGCGGACGTCCGAGGTTTAAGTCCCACCTGCGGCTCCTTTCCTGCATCTCATTACCCTCTCTCTCTGTCTCTCACACTGATTTCCTACTCTGTCCACTCTTTTCAAATAGACACAAAAAGCCCAAACTGAATCTGAAAAAAGAAGCTCCTTTACATCATTTACTCAGAACAATAAATCATAATGCTGCAGAAGTATTTTACAAAAAGCATTTACAAATGTTATATCTCAGTTCTTTGTTTAAAAAAAAATCTGAAGTAAGCAGTTGCAATTGTTCTGAAGCATTACATGTTGATATGTGAACTCTGTTACTGTCCCAGCACACTATCATTTAGATATGTTTGCATTCAGAGGTCTGCAATCAATTAAGACAGAATATAATGTCCATTTAATACAAATATTTTTAGAAATATATAATGCAACATTTGTTATCAGAATGTTTCATACATCAACATAAAAAATATTCTACTTTTAATGTAAAGAAATATACATACTGCATGAGTATTCACTTCTCTTGAGTTATTCACAACTTGCCACTTCTGCAAATCCTGTACATTGGTCTTATTAGGATCTTATGTAATGGATCGAAAGAAAAGGTCCACAATGTCTCATGGAGTTTAAAACTATTTACAAATAAAATAATGGAAAGCCAAAGAAAACCCCTACCTACAATCTGGTTCAACAAATAGACTTTGGATTAATGTTATTATCTAACAGAACTGCTTTTTGAAATCAACTTTGTTTATCAAACTTCAAAATCAAATTCCCGGTTGGAACCTGTGTAATGTGGTGAAGTCCAAGAAAGACGAGTTCTTATGGAGGTCGTTGTGTATGTGTTGGCGTATACAGTATATAAAAATGTCAACCTATCCTAAAGTTGACATGAAGGATCGATATTTTCAGTTATATTAAATCACTGAATTGATGAGTTGGTCATTATCTTTATCAATCAATCAATCTTTATTTGTATAGTGTCAACTCATAACAAGTATTATCTGGAGACACTTTACAAAAAGCAGCTAAAAGACCTTACTCATTGTTATGTTACAAAAAGCAGGTAAAAGACCTTACTCATTGTTATGTTACAAAAAGCAGGTAAAAAGACCTTAATTATTGCTATATTTCAAAGACTCCTTTACTATTTTGACGTACCTTGACACCTATCCAATTACACATGCTAACACAATGCTTTATGCCTCAGAAATGGCACCCGCTCTGCTCTTCCCTGTTGGTGCCGGGCTTCATTGCCGGGCCTGGGCTGATCTGCTGGAAGGCGCTCAGGGTGCAGTACTCATTGCAGTACCAGGGAGGGTCCTTCTCCAGGGATGTGTGGCTGCTGAGCCAGCACCCTGAGTCCCCCTCAGTTGGACTCCCTGGCGGTGAGCTGAAAGTCAGACTCCCTGGATCTGAAAGAGGAGACATGGTGCTCACAGCATACGGGACGCCCAGGAGAGAGACATCGCAGCGTGGATCTGAGACGTTGCTGTAGGTGCTGCCCTCCATGAACCGGTTCTGACACTGAGGCCAACCCTCCTCTTCCTCTTCCTCTTCCTCCTCCTTGTCCTGAACATCTGCACACTTTGTTAGTGTGTCTATTTGGAGCGTTTCCTCTGTCTTCAGCATGTCTGCTGTGTTTTCTTGTGTAACCACCCAGCTCTATGATCACAGTAATGTTCAGGGACAGAATCAGGATTTAATAGTTAATATGTTATGCAACCATCTTCAACTTACCTTGAAGTCTCCCTGGCAGTCATGGTACAGGGTGTGGAAATAAGGGGCTGGAGTTGGGATGAAGGCATTTTGCTTCCACCTGTAAGCATGAGGAAAATAAAGATAAAACCAATCAATCATTAAATCAATTTTTATTTGTATAGCGTCAACTCATAACAAGTGTTATCTCGAGACACTTTACAAAAAGCAGGTAAAAGACCTTACTCATTGTTATGTTACAAAAAGCAGGTAAAAGACCTTACTCATTGTTATGTTACAAAAAGCAGGTAAAAGACCTTACTTATTGTTATGTTACAAAAAGCAGGTAAAAGACCTTACTTATTGTTATGTTACAAAAAGCAGGTAAAAGACCTTACTTATTGTTATATTACAAAAAGCAGGTAAAAGACCTTACTTATTGTTATGTTACAAAAAGCAGGTAAAAGACCTTACTCATTGTTATATTACAAAAAGCAGGTAAAAGACCTTACTTATTGTTATGTTAGAAAAAGCAGGTAAAAGACCTTACTCATTGTTATGTTACAAAAAGCAGGTAAAAGACCTTACTCATTGTTATATTACAAAAAGCAGGTAAAAGACCTTACTTATTGTTATGTTACAAAAAGCAGGTAAAAGACCTTACTCATTGTTATATTACAAAAAGCAGGTAAAAGACCTTACTTATTGTTATGTTACAAAAAGCAGGTAAAAGACCTTACTCATTGTTATGTTACAAAAAGCAGGTAAAAGACCTTACTCATTGTTATATTACAAAAAGCAGGTAAAAGACCTTACTCATTGTTATGTTACAAAAAGCAGGTAAAAGACCTTACTCATTGTTATGTTAGAAAGATATTACAAAATGACGTGCATTTCACTTCTAGAAAATAAAAATTGCATTATTGTGATTTTGTATTTACTGAGCGATAAAAGGTGGGCAGTACTTTTTAATAGGACCGTAGCAGAGAAGTAAGACCAGCAGCGCCGTCACACATAAGGGGGTGAAGACCATCACAGCCAGCCTGGACTTCAATGTGCTTGAAGTGAGATCTGTACACATCAACACATAGGAGAACATATCGATTCATTCTCTTGATTCACTTTATTCAGTCGTTTTCTGGGTGTAATCTTACCATCCACAGTGGGCTTGGTACTCCAGTTAATCTCAGAGGACCAGCTGCTCCACTGACCCTGGAAATAGTACTGATTAGGACCAGAGCGTACTCTGGCAGAGTACTCTGTGTCAGGCAGAAACTTGTCATCATCCACAGAGTAATTTGTTATTGCCACGCTGATCGTATGAGATGTGATCTAAAGAGAAACAAACAGAGTGTAAAGTTAGGAGAGTTTGTAAAGGTAAGGAACGTCCTGTACGGAGGCCCATTCCTGCCAAATCAGGCTGAGCTGTAAAATATTTGAAAATAAGCTATTTTCAAAACAATGTTTACGGTTTCTACAAATATAAACAATGACAATCAACACTTCTGTAAAGAATATTTTAGGATTTAAAAAAACAATGCCCCAGATCCCGTAACTCCCAGCCTTTATAGATTGTTTCTTGCTCATGTGATTAAATCCAGTTTCCACATTATTTAGATGTGTCTTAAAAAATATCCCAGAGGGTCATTCCTGTTTTATTACCTCATCTCAATTTAAGAGCTGTAGTTTTGTAGTGAGGGCAGAACAACAAGCTTTAACCACATTACAGGTGTTCAACAGGGTTTTCAGCTGGCCAGGTTTACTGGGAACCAGGAATGATGTGTTTGGGAAAAGCCCTTAGAACGAAAAACACATTTCTGACGACAACAAAGATCTGTTCTGAATCGTATTTTTTTTTCTTTTAGCCTTTACCCAGTGCAGGCCTTAATCCTTAAAAGAAATTGAAAGACAATTCTAATACTTTAAATCTCGAGTCATTAAAGTACCTACAGAAGAAAATTATGCAATGCATGTATGAGTTCTTTCCCTTCTGCTTGTTCTTTATCACATCTGACACATCTGGAATTCTTGTTTTGTAATATATAGTTTAAAACTTAAACACAGACTCAATACCCCTGTGACACTTTTCACCCTCCTTTTTTTAAATCTGCTTTGTTGTAGTTCATATCTTCAGTTCTGTACTTATTCAACATCCATTCACTTATATATTATGACATTACAACAGGTATAAAAACACAATATAAGCTCTAAACATCCCAGTCTCCACTCTAAATGTATCCAGTCTGGAGTCCATGCGATTTGTAATTATTCATCAACAACAACAACAGAAACCTTGAAATACAATATTCCCCTGTAGAATGTATATTTATGCTCCACCTCTGATGAATTCAGATCTATATTCCAGCCTCCTAGAATAAGAATTTCACTCGATATGTTACTGTATAACCGGAATGACAATAAACATCTTGAATCTTGAATTAAAATGTTTGACTTGTTTGTTTCAATAATCAGAAGAGGCTACATTGCTTCATTGAAGGCATTGTGCATAAAAAGCCAAAAAATATGATCGATGAAATCACCTTAAGCCTGGCTCACACTGTGTGATTTTTCCCCGATTGTATAAAACTCGGGGTGGCATGTTAGCTCACACTGTACGAGTGAAATCGAGACGGAGCGTTGACAATTGTTAATAAAGTTTCATTTGAAAAAAAAGAAGGATGGCGGTCGGTGAAAGAGAAGGAAGTGGAAGTTGTTGTAGGATATAGAGAAGTTGATACAATCATAGATGGATGGATACAAGTTTCAGAAAAGTGCTGCACTGATGATCTGTACAGAAAACTAAAAAAAAACTAAAAACAGTTGCGTCCTGCCGCTGGTCACCATGACTACAGTCCCCCCTTGTCTTTCCTGATTATATTGTAGTCACACACAACTTCTGCCGGACCCTTTCATGACGTAAATGTCAAGATTTTAAATTCTAAATATCAAACATGTTTGAAATAAATCGGGGCGTCCCCGACGATCGCCGGGAGAGACCCTGTGATTGTCAGGAAGGAAGAATCGGAGCTGAAATCGGCCCAATTATCCTGCAGTGTGAGCCAGGCTTAAGATACATGGTTTCTTCTGCGTCACAAAATATCGGCTAATGTTGCCTCAATCTGTCTAATATTCCTAAACGACCCTGCTATTTCTGATGTGCCGTACAAAGGTCTACTCTGCATTTTTGACAGGAATGGAAATGATATCACTGAGGATGTAGAGGAATAAAATAAACCTTGTGAATCACATGTGATACCTTTGTCTTTGACTGCATTGCAGATCGGCTCATAGACTTTTAACTGTTTCAAACAAGGGCTGTGTCATTCTCATGAATCCAAAAAACCAAGAGATCTTACGCTGAACTCTTTTCCTCTCTTGTAGTAGTAGAGCTCGTACTTCAGGGTTTCAGGCAGAGTGGTCACCTCACTGTACTTCTCGTACGTACTCTCCCAAGTAAAGCGGTGCTGTCCGGACTGGTGGCTCACGTTGAGGCAGCATGGTGAGTTTGGTTTAACTGAATAGAGGACACATTAAAGACAAACACATATTTGGATTCATGTTTTCTGTTGCATCTGGTGATGAAAACAGACAGGTAGCATATCTTACTGTTTTTGAAAGGCTTGAATCTGTCCATCAGAAGTTTGCAGTTTTCCACCCCTTCATTTTGTTTGTGACACAGAGAGAATTGATAGGTATCTGTTTCCATAAAGGCATTTGATACGTAGTCATAATCAATGTCTGTATTGGGTATTTCAATAGAACAGAAGTAATCCTCTGCGTTCTGTATCAACGGACACACAAACGGCTTTCTGCACAAAGAGGAGAGAGGAGAGACAATAAAAGAAGCATGAGGCTTTCCTTCACATCAAGAGGTCATTTTCATCAAGATTAACTAATAAAAATAAACAACGGCCTCACTTTTGATTTCTTTTCTCAGCGGTGAGCCAGTAGGAGCTGTTGCTGTGTGAGGTGTTTGCTGTGGGTGGGATGTTCAGGGAGCAGTTGATGGTGAACAAGTAGTCGCTCATGCACTGAAGATTGTGGTTCCCTGCTGAAATGATTACAAGAAATGTTCCATATGGAATAACATTTATCCCAAAGTAACCTGACATGCATTGTACATTTTATACTTAAATGTGCTTCACTGCTTCATTAGAGGTTTTACAAACTCTACTACAGTAGTAGCCTATGTCACTAAGTACTCTACACATTTTATTATAAACCATGTCAAATATTTCAGAGATCAGTAACCAGACCAAGGTGAACCCTCTTCATTCCAGTGATACAATCCTGCTTTTTCTTCACTGCTCTTTACATAACTTGCTGCTATCAACATACCAAGTCACTTTAATCATCACTTGTCACTTTATCTTGCTGCACTGCACATAGTGTCTAATTGCCCTGTTAACTTCACCATCTATATTGTACTTGTATATACCTCCTATTTTTATCTATATTTATCTTAACTATTGTGTTTACATTTTCTATTTTGTATGACCTTTTCTTCTGTCTTTTTTCTGCTGCAACGCTCGAATCCTATCCTATTGAGTTGATTATGTTTTGTATCTTTTGAAGTTGATCAGAATGTAAATGAAGTTCTGTGTTAAAGTTTTTTTTAACACAGAAAAAAACACATCTTTATATATGTTTTATAAAGATGAAATGTATGTGCAAGTTTGTGTATGCAACAGGTAAATTGGAAGATGTGTCTGTCACATATATGGTCAACAGGGTTGCACCTCTCACTTGCTGCAAGAGAGGTGGCATTTTTCTTTCCTTATTGCTTCATTCATTCCTTTGCTTTGCTTTTTTTCTCCCAGTATCAGTCCCCGTCTACCTGGTAGTCATCCAAATCAAAGAACTCATCGTCCAAAAAAGGGTTTATTTTACATATTTAAAATACATTTAAAATCATTGTTGTTAGCAGTTCAACGTTTCTATATACGTTTTATTTTCCATTTCTGACACTGAAACTGCTTTAGGTAGAAATGTCCTCATATCATTGAACATGAGAAACAATGACTGATAACTCACCTAATGCACATAGTGAAAATTGTTTTTTTTTTTAAAGATTTATTTTGGGGCTTTTTATGCATCGTTTTTTAGAAGAAGCCACATGTCAGACCCGAGCCCGGGCGGTCTGCCCTCGAGGACTTCAGCCTCTGCACACTAACCACTAGGCCACTGGCACCCCAAATGTGTATATTGTTTTAAGATATGACAACATGTGAAACCATCATTTAACCCTTAAATGAATTTCAATCAAATCAGCATTCAATACTTCTTCAGAGATCAGTAAGAAGATCAAATAAAATGCAACCCTGGCAGCCATGCTCCCCCCCTCTTCTCTTTGACTTTGTGCAAATGTATAAGTAATCAAAAATGATGCCTTTAGTGGAGTATCAATCAATCAGTCAATCAATCAATTTTTATTTGTATAGCGTCAACTCATAACAAGTGTTATCTCCAGACACTTTACAAAAAGCAGGTAAAAGACCTTACTTATTGTTATGTTACAAAGTATCTCATTGAAGTGATTGTAAAAGGCTGCAGACACAAAAAGGATCAAATAAAGATTCAACCCTCACCCTACCTCAAAAAGGTATAGGGCATATTGATTAAAAATTGAGCAGACTTTCTCAGAAGATCAAATAGTCCAAAGTGTCCGAGTGCTTCAAGGGACAACATTGGTTCTTAGATCATGTTTGAATGAATCTTGTTATTCACTTTGGCATGACAGACAACATTTAATTTCACATTTAAAAAATTAGTAAATATTTAGACTGACGTTACCTGAGACTTGACTTCCATGCACCAACACAGCGTCGGGAGAAACCAGCAGAGACTTGATCAACAGCAGCAGCAGCATCTTCAGCAGAGACAACCAATCCATGTGTGCACACTTTACCAAGACGTCTCTCATGCTGCTTCTAGAGTGTGTTTATTGAAGACTGAGAGTGGGAGGTTTCAGTCGGTCTTTTTCACCCTGATCACTATCACTCTCTGTGTGGGGAGGAGAGGATGTGCTACTTCATTTTTTTTTACAAGGAGCAGTAGTAAAAGTTAAGTGTGTGAAAGGGGGCCAAACACACCCAGGAGTCTGACAGCACACCACATAATATATCATGCTGTGTTTTTGGTATAACTTTTTGTAAAGTTTGGTCATACAATAGAACATTTTAACATAAAGACTGATAAATGTTTAATTATCACTGTTTTAAGATTGAGTTTATAAGATATTCAAAATAGAATTAAAATTGTGAGGGGCGTCGTATAGCCTATAGCGGGCCCATGTACAGAGGCAATAGTCCTTGTCACAGCACCGTGGGTTCGAATCCGTCTTCAGCCATTTGTTGCATGTCATCCCCTACTCTCTTATTTCTTGTCTCTCTTCAGCTGTCCTATCCACTAAAGGCAAAAATGGACACCAGTTTCATACCAGAACCCTAAATGTGCACATAAAACCATCCATGTAATAGTCTTCATTATAATGGATTACTTTTTGAGTGGCCTAAATATCCCATTATAAACATTATAAAATAATCATTGGCATGGTAAGGGGTGTCCAGAGATGAGACAGTGGTTCACATAATTCTTTGTACATTTCATATGTTTGTCTATTGCACTGTGCAGAGCTACACACATACAAGGTTCTGCATTTAAATGTCTCCAAAGTGTAACCTTAGGCTTTTAATAACTTCAAATATTTGCCCTCAGTAATATGTCAGATGCAAACATTTAGGTTATTTTACATCAAACTCCAAAATTCACTTGTTATACAACCGATGAGAAGGGTGTTGTGCAAAGTGTGGAGGGGTTCAGCCGTGTGTTGTGGTGATTCTGTGAATGATAATAGCTGATGTGTCTTCCTCTGAGGTTTAGATTTTGTTGATTTGTTAACATGCACACTTCCCTGGCAGCAGTGTAGGGAGGTAAACATTTCTTGAATAATCTGTCTTCAGTTTTGGTCAGGCCTTTTCAGTCTCATGTCGGTCTACTTGTGTTTTAAAGACACATTAGTTTGTTGCAGACAGAGGTTAAACGTTTACAATGCAATACTCACAAGACCCCATTTTTCAACATAACTATTTATGTCTAAAAGAGCATTTGAACAGGAAACGAGTGAAGAGCATTTTAGCACGCAGACACTCATATCATATGATGACTGAGGTCTCACATTAATTTGGGTTTGTGCTTTCCAAAATATACTTTCACTCTGATCAACTTACTTCACCACAGAGTTATTTTTATTGAATGACTTTCTGTCTCCTCTGAGTATGAGCTTGTGTTATGTGTGAACATGCTTAAGAGCACTATCCCATTAGCTTGTTGTGTTCAAAGTGTTTATATTGTGCAAGAGCAAAAAAACCCGATAGGAGATTTGCACCGTGTTGCAGGTTCATCTGATTTGATAACTTAAATGTGTTTTTCACTACACTGATGAAATGATAGCAATAAGCTCGATATAGAACTTCTGGCCGTAAACACCAAGTTATCTGACTAATAGAGATCAGAAGCATTGGGTTGGGTTTGACTGAGTTATCAGGAAACATGCAGTCTCTGTATAATCTAATAAGAACGAAACATCTTGTAAAACCCTTATATTATTACATTTTAATATGACACTGGAAGTGTTTACAGGCTTACAAGATTTGAATTGCACGGTTCCTTTACACATCTGGCATTTATACAAAAAAAGAAAGCGCATTGGAATAACCATTATGACTGCTTCCACTTCAATAATTCTGCTGTTAATTAAATAATGCACCTATAAAACATGCGCTTTAAAATCTAGCTCTCTGAATACAAAGTTATTAATGCACCAGGTTACAAAACATTTTTAAAAAATGATCCTGTGGGATGTTATGGGTTTAGATGAATTTTTAAATCCACGTTTCTTTCTTGATCGTGGATCCAGTGAAGCACTTGAGGCGCACACCAGCACCACTCACTCACACGCCAGTTTACCATCGAACGACGACAGGGTGATGGTGAAGGCTTGCAGGGCACACAGGGGGAAGCTGTAGTCCATGGAGAAGACGTCCTCTGCTACACGGCCGAACTGCATCACTATGTAGTCCTCTGGAAAAGAGAGAGATTCAAAATGAATACAAAGCAGACTTTTTTCTACTGGTAAAACAGAAATAATAATAATAATAATTTATCCTTTATTAAAATTATTTTTAAAAAGGGGAAATTCAGTTTTTTATTCCTGTTTAATGAACATGCTACACAAACATAGGCCAAAATACACAGACAGGATCCTATGGACATGCATTAATGGAGAGGTTTCAGAGTGAGGGGGCTGCCCACAGCGAGCACTACAGAGCAGTTTTGGGGTTAGGTGCCTTGCTCAAGGGCACCTCGGCAGTGCTCAGGAAGTGGACTGGCACCTCTCCAGCTACCAGACCAATTTCTGGACTTGGTCTGTGCTGGGGCTTGAGCCAGCGACCCTCCGATTCCCAACCCAAGTCCCTACAGACTGAGCTACCTCCGCCCCAGTAAAGCAGTTACATTGTACCGTTGTCAGGGTGGATGATCTGGAAGTTTTTGACGGAGGCCTGGGTGACACGTCCATGGAAGTTAAGCACATACGACTGGGTCTGTTCGTTCCAGCTCGGGGATTTGTTCACCAGTGTGACCAGTTTCTCCGTGTTGTTGTTGGCATGGCGGACCAATAGAGTCTCAAGTTCCTTCAATAGAGTCAGGAGAGAAGTCAGGTCCTCTGATCTATTTCACACCAAATCTACATCAAAAACATTTATTTTTAATTGAAGGCTTTTGTTGCAGACGTACATTTTTTGGATGAATGGACACTCTTTCATCGTTCTCCAACATACCGGGGATGATCACAGTCATTTTTCTTGGACCTTTAAAGCCCAGCACATTTGTCTCCTGCAGCACAAAAAAAAAATTGCACAGGGTTTGTCTCTTTATATACAGTGTTATACAAGTGCAGCACCGATGTAAGACAAGTGGACCATGGCTCTTGGTTTGAAAAGTGAAGACAATGTGAAATGCCTTGAACCTGCATTACTTCTCATGACCAGCAGGGGGCCACTGCACTGGCTGCAAAAGAAGATTTTAACCAAATAAGAAGAAACTTCACCCACTTCTCAGCTGGTATGTTACCTCAGTTAAGATTTATTTTAAGACTTTTTAAATGTTCAATCTCAATCAGTCTTTATCAACTGAGCATGATGTTAATTTAGTAAAGTATGGCTCCATTTAAATGACACATTTGACAATAAAACTGATTTTAGTGCATGGCTACTACCTATTGAAATAGCCATGTATATCTACCATTCTGGTTTCAACAAAAAAATTGAAAATGGAGGCTACAAGGACTTTCTTTATTGATTATTGATGTGTAAATGAGAGGTTCATGACGTCTGAACTTACATAGCAAATTGCTGCCAGTTCTTGCCGCACTGTTTCACACTCTTTGACGAAAGGTTTTTTCTCAGGGTTTTCACCTCCATCATAGACTGTGAACTTTGTACCCAGAACATTGGACCTGAAACAAAAGAGTCTTATCAGATACATGATCGGAGAGCAGCTATTTCAGATCAAGGTGAGAGAAGACAACAGCAACAGTGTTTGGGTGCATTCACGTCCATATAAAATGATGACACATGAAGGGGTTGTTGAGGGGATTAAACATGTTTGTCCATGTTTATTAAGAGCATCTTTTTGACTGGTTTTGCCTCAAGACCCACCACCAAGTCCTTAATGAGAATTTGCAACCCAAACTTCTGATCATATTGAACCAATGATATTTGAATGGTGCCGTTTGGACCTCAGACGTTAGAAGACATAGCTTCATAGACTTTATGACACATTTTTTACTCAGGCACAAAATCAAAACCCATTGAAAAAAGGCTCTGGGACACTTTTGGGTTCTGACCCACCAGTTAAAAACCACTGATTTAGAGCCATTATAGTGAACCCTTCATTATTTCTTCTCCCTGTACTTGCAATAAATTCTCATTTCCCATAATTCTCTGCATCATCAAACATATAGGTGTAGTATTATAAATAATCCTGGAGAACAAATGTAATATGGAAATATTTCACTGTGCATGTACAATGCAGCTTTGTGTACATCTGGGAGTAAAGTAAAAATGGGGCCTGGATATTTAAATTAATCCAATTATGGAGTTAACAAGAGTTAACAACCAGAGGGGCGAACATATAGAGCATCTCTAGTTTTTCTCCGTAGTCTGCTGATTTAAGGGAAGGTATGTGACTAACTGCAACTGTGAGGTGACGTTAATACTATTAATGATGGCTTCATTCCAATTCCCTTGTTTTAGTGCCAACTGGTGTTGGTATTAAGCATGCTGCCTAATTAGTACGGCTTACTGAGGCACTCACATGGAACAAAGCCTCTGTTAGTGTTTTTACACTACAACAGTTTGTTCCCTGCTATCATGAGTCATAATGTCACCTGTTTAGTGTGACGATAATGTTTTATAAAACATGACCTAAGGGGTTTTAATAATGAGACATCAGAGAATTTGCCTCAAAGAGAAGCTTTGTATTTTTTTTTAAAAGAAGCACCAACATGGTCTTCATTAAAAAGAAGTGATTTATTGTTATTTTACTGGTAAGACATAAGAGAGAGTTGTACCTCAGTTTTCCTATGTAGCAGTTTGTGTCTCTGGACAGATCTGTTGCATCAGTGGAGATGAGATAGTTGGACGTTTTGCACTTTTTTCTTTTTCTGCCCGCCATTAGAAACACCTTGATGGCGCAAAAAAAAAAAAGTTGGTTCAGATATTAGAAGGAGAATGAAGAGAATTTTGTAAGAAATATGAAAGGTAAAGAAAATAGGGTCATTTCTTCAGAGCTAAAAATCCATGTTACACAAAGATGAATGATGTTTTGTAAAAGTACCAACCCTCTTGCCGTCCTCCTTCTCCATGTGCAGGTAATAGGTAGGGTAAATGCCCTTCTCCATGCCCCTCCGGTCCCTGGTGACCCTGCACTGGATTGTCACGTCTCTGGGGGCCGGGCGCAAAGCAAACTTCTCCAGATCTTCCACTGACATTGGAGATGTTGACTTTAATAAGAAAGAGTGAGAAGCACTTCAACAAATTCTGTCATCTCTGTGACAAATTCATTCTTTTTTTGTACAATAAACTAAACAGCTTGCATTATTTTTTTCAACGTCTCACCCTTTCATAAGATTCACTCCCTGAGGATGAATTCTCTCTGTAGTTGGAGTTAAGAGACGCTAGACTCTGTGCATTTTTCTCTGATTTGTTTGCTTTCTTTTCCTTCTTCTCCTTTCCCTCTAAATCTTCGTCTTTGCTCTCATCACTTATTTGGCACCGGGCTGGGAAAAAAAAAAGACACAAGCAAACATTATTCTTCTTCACAGCAGCTTTACAGTAGCTTCACAGTGCTGCTGATGATACACTGATTTCCCCTTACTTGTGTTAAGTTGTTTCTTCCTCTTAGGCGATTGAGGGACTAGCTTCCGGGACCCTTGTTCCTCTTCATCGTCACTTCCGTCCTGTTTGTTCTCCTTTGAACTGCTTGATGCCTCCACCTCTGCCTCTGTCTCCTGGTTTGAAGACTCATTTAAGTGCTTCTCTGAAAAAAGAAGAACATTTATTATTACGTGTACAAATTCAAATGAATGTGAAGTGGATGCATGTTAAAGATAAACATTGATCATGGTTGTACTTTTTCGCTCTTGTTTTGTCGTCTTGCTCGTCTTCTGTTGGTCGTCAGGTTCCTTCACTTTTTCTTTTTTCTTTGTTTTTTTCTCTTTTTTCTCCTTGCAGTGTTTATCGGTCTCTTTTTCCTCAATCTGTTCGATCTCTGAAAAAAGAATTGAATTCCCGATGAATCACTTCATTCAATGTGATCAGTTTAAGACAACACACATTATGCAGAAACACATGCTGAGACTGAGATCTATAGGGACTTTAAGGGTAAATGTAATCTTGCCATTTTCATACGCACAAAAAGTAATTAAAAAACAGACAGCTTTACAATACTTTGACTTACGTTTGGCCTTTTCTTTTTTCACTTCTTTCGTCTTTGTTTTTGTCCCCTGTGTTTGAGCATCATTCTCCACCCCACTCTTCACCTCCGGCTCTTCTACCTCCAAATTCATTTTCTTTGGAGAGACAAGCTTTTCTGAAGGCAGCCCATCTACTGGTGGGCTCGCTGTGATGTCGCATTCGCCCAGCGTGATCTCATCCAATGGGTTATCATGGGCATGTTCAACTTGATCTACAAGGAAAAAATATTTAAGGACTTAGAAAAGACATATTGTAAGACACAGAGGGGATAGGATAATGAATCACTCTCACACTCACCGGTCAGGGAAGTGTTGCTCAGGGATTGGCTGATGAGCAGGGGGGTTTCATCAGAGCGGGCAGCTTTTTGTTTCCTGTTCTTTTGTCGAGCATCTCGATTTGCTACCACCATCTGAGAATCAGCCCTCTTCTTCTGTTGCTTTTTCATCAGAAGGGTGCGCTGTGGATGAATTATGTATCAGAACTCATCATTAACTGTAGCAATAATGACAAAGCACATCAATACTCTAATTCTGTATCCAGCAAACTTAAGCTCAAGCAAGAAAAAAAGTCACTTTTTTTACATGTTCAATATGTAATATTTCCACTCTTAGGTCATAGGTAACCGGCTGTGCAGAAGTGTAAGAGGGGAATTTCACAAAATATGATGATATAGTGATTGTTTTATTCATACTGTAGGCCTATATTATATTTGAAAAAACTCACCAATATGGTATACAGTTATATAACATAAAAGGGAGATTAGGTTATTTAATGTTAATTTGGAAAGTATTCATTTAAGCTATTATGTTTAAGCTCATGTTTATACAGTTTGAGTCCTCTCCATACCGCAAACAGATTATATGTTTTACAGCAAAAAACATGACACACATGATGTGGGCCTTAAGATTGCAAAAGCCACTATTAGCACTTAGATCTTATCCTTCTGGTTATAAGTAGAAGGTATTCATATAGGCTACTTCAGCAGAAAGCAGACTGACTTCCTAACAGCAGGTGGTTCTGACACACATTGACCTTATTAGGCTCAAGAAGGCTCAGTTTTAAACACTTGTGACCTAATTAAAGAAAAAGAAGTTTCATACTATTCTTCACTACTTTACTCCACTTCTTTACTACTTCACTACGATACTTTGATCATCTATTGTCCTAATAGAATAACAGCTTTAAACCTCGGTCTGCTTGATCTAATAGAATTTGAAATGCTTGATAATTATAAGAGCAGTTACAAAAATATCCAATATTCTATTCTAGTCTATTTCTTGTGCAAATAACATCCAATACTCAAAATCCTTGTTTATTTACCTGGTTGTCCAGCTTCTGTTGTCGTATATCAGGCTCCTCCATGTCTGGAAAATGACTCTCTGACCAATTCAAATGAATAAGTAGAAAACTGAATATATTTAAAACCACTGGTGAAATCCAGTCAAACTTAGATGCAAGAAATGGTTCTGTTTGAGAAATAAAAGCGCAGTTAGCATGTTAGCGGGTGTGTGATTGTGGCACCCTGCTCCATCTGACAGTCTGTCCACCTGCATGCAGCAGAAGGCAAAGTGGATTAAAAGGGGATAATGTTCTTAAACTGCGCCGCACAGCTCAGCCAGTGCAGACAAGTAGTCTCGAGGGTAAGGCCAGCTTTCCTTGACTGCTTTATGGAGATGCTACGGCCTCATTTGTTACAGTTGAAACGTGAGACAATAGAAAGAGGAAAGTGATGCCATGCTCCTGTCACTACATTCACCAAGTCGTCTGCATCACTTACCAAGACGTGAGAAGGCGAAGTCGCCACGGTCACCAGAAGTTGCCATAAATCTTCGGGCAGGAAGATTTTTACAAAAATGTACGCCTTTAAAATTAGCACACAAAAGTGTGACTTTAAAATTAGCAATAAGTGTTCCTAAAGAAAATAAAAACAAAAACAAACGCTCGTATCGATGGGCCGCTCATCCCGGTTTATCTCGTTGCCATGGATACCGCTACCCTTCCAGTGCATAGGCTAATGATGGACAAATTCAAAATAGCCTAGCTGATATCTCTGGGTCTTTGATCACATAAATGTAATCATTCATGTAACTGTTATCAATACGTCTGCATAGCAGAGCTTGCCTCCTTGTAAGTTAGGCCTTAGTGTATTTTAGGATGGTGTGTTTTTGTTTTTCAGTGCTTATAGGTGTTCAAATGAAGAGTTCAGATATTCAAATGAAATGTGTGTGTTGCTGAGTTATCCTACATGATGAGCATACATTAGTTTATTGATTATTTTGTATTGTAGGCTCTATAAATGCTACACAGAATGATGTACAATCATAGTGTACAATGCGCTGAACAGGAAAAAGGGGCGGGTCTACACTGTTGCTATGATACAAGTGAGGAAGCCAAACCGAAGTCAGTTTTGGTCAATGTAAGGTTTGGCATAACACTTTTCAAAGCTTGAAAGATAAATCATAACTATCGTCTTTTTAACGACATGATTTCGACAGGTTAAATGAAATACATAAACACTTGGTTTTCAGCTGTGAACTTCTGCTGTTTGCTCAATTCATAGAAATGGATACGCGAGTGAAGGTAGGTTACAAATTTGGTACGATTCACAAAACCAAGTTGTGTTTTTACCATAGACAGTAAATATTACGTATTTTTTTACGTAGCCCATATAAAGTATTATGTATTAACTTTATCATAGGCCTACTAAAAATATAGGCTACATAACACTTTCTACCTCTTAGCCTAGCATTTAAACATGTTACCTTAGTTGTAAAACAAACATTGTTTTTCTGTAGGTACCTCGGGCCCTGAAAGCTAAAGTGATGCTATGGTGAGAGAGGTCATTTCCATTTTGATGCTTGCCACTTTTCTATGTCTTGACTAAGTATGATATCTAGCCTTGAATATATTTTCTGGGTGGTTTCAGGACAGATGTAAGTTACCATGACATGGAGCAGATAGATAAGATGCACTCTCTTCCTGAACTGGAGAGGTTTCTGCACCTTTTTAATGACCACATTATATATAAATATCTCTTCTTAAACAGAATCACACACAGAGCTTATATATGACTCTCCTACCCTCTTCTGTGTTAGTACTTTATGCAGTGTGCTTGGAGTTGACCTACCTGAACCAAAAAGAGGAGTTCTGCTCGAGTTGTATGTCCACACTGTGCTTTTCTGCAGAGAGAGCAGGTTCAACAAAGAACAAACCTCTGCTCTCTTGTCCATCATGAAGTCTGTTCATGAGGCTAACATAGGTAAGTAAAGTCACATTATCATCACCATCATGTAGTTAGAGGTCCCACCTTCTGTTGCTGGACAAATATAACAGTTTTTTTCCCAAACAACTTATCTAATTGTTCATCAATTTTTTTGCTAAACTGTTTGTGCTGTTTTCTTGCAGAGACTCCGCTCAACAACATAGACCAGAGCTTCAAATACTGCAAGGAGCTACTTCTCTGTCACTCAGTCAGGGTCTGTTAAACAAATAGTTTGTTTTTTCCTCACATCATTTATTATGCATACATCACATATAAGTCATGTTTCTGTGTATTTTCCCACTTCAGCGACCTCCTTATAGTATCAACCTCTTCAGCCCTGAGGAGGGGAGCTCTATCTTGAAGTACTTCTATGAAAGCTACGTGAAGTACTACAAACTCTATAAATATATCTTTACACCACAGGTATGTTTAAAAAGAAACTTTGCTCTAATTGTTCAAGCAATTTCTGCTAGCATTTGTTTTACTTTTAATTTATGCCTGTGAATAATACATAGAGAGAGTAATGAAGAACTCTGTGAATTTCTTTTCAAAGGTAAAACTTGATTTGTCTTTGACTTACTCTGTGAGCCCAAACCACGATGAACCTACTGTGGAGGATTCTTCTTTTCCAGGTTAAGATTACAGGGTATCATAAAGTTTGATGGCATGGAAAAATCCACTATTCTTTTTTCCCCATGCAACGGAACACAATAAGAGTAATGTCAAATTTACTGAATTTTTTTTAAAAAAATTTGTTAGAAAAACATCTTTCAAAATCCTTGCAGTGTAAAACTTTAACGACCTTCTTCAATTTGATGTTGAAAAATTAGATTACAATATTACTACTTTTCTTCCATCTGATGTTGAAAATGTGCAGAGGCAGAAGTTGAACCAAAGACAGACAGCTCCTCAGATACGCAGGAAACAACCACTGCAGAACCAAAGGACACCACACTGGGTAAGATCACATATTTAAAAAGGAGTGAGGGAATACATTACTCAAGTCAAATTCACCTCCAATGGTGATTGTTACGGCTTTATTTTCTCAATTCCAGGTTCAAAATGGGAGCTGAAGGCACTGATAGAGAAAGAGATCAAAGAGCAGATGATGATTGTGTCAGGACAACTTGAACTGCACGTGAAAGGAATCACGCATCAGCACAACAGTGATTCTCCAGAGCCCAAAAACAAGGGCAACAAATAATAACACTTCAAATAAGTACTCAAACAGAGCAAGACGATTCAAATGCAAATGTTGGATTTATTGTTTATATATCTTTTTCAACACCATAAGTACATACATCTGCTTTTCTACAATTAGGCACTTTCAGGAAAGTGCAACTTCTTTAACTAAAACATAGACAGAGTAGGGAATGGTGTTGGTTAGTTTTAATAGGAAATATATTCACCAATGGACTTCACAGTTAATGTAGGTAGATTTTCTCTATAGAGGAATGTCTGCATGCATGACAGGTACAGGATTCTCTTCCAAAAATCTCTCAGAAAAGACTGTACTTGATCGTTTCACACAAATCCTGCAGTGCTAGTTTGTAGTGGAATATCTTTAAATCACCTTGTTACAACAAAAGTGTGTGTTAAATATGACTCACAGTGCACTTGAACCACACAGTGATCAGAGACAGAATAACATCCAACTGACCATCAAAATGAAAATCCTAAATATACAAAAAGTACATGTATGTTATGCGTTTTATCAAATGATTGTGCAATATGTTCTCTGCAGCAAACACGGTGACCTGACAAGACTTTTAACAGTCACAAACTTGGATCAAAGAGCAGATAAGGAGGTTAAGTTGTGCATGCTTAATGTAAACTAAACCACCGTGCACATTAAGGCATTCAGACGTCTCAATCCCTGAAGTCCTCTCCTTAAATTAAACACAGTAATGTTACAAGACAAACACTTACATGACTGCACATGCTGATGTTTAAATAAAATAAATCAAGGTTATAGGGAAAGAGGTGGACCTTCTATGTCTCAAAGTCCTCCAGGCCCAGCAGCACGATCTTAGCTGTGTTCTGGAAGAGAGCGGCTCGGTTCTGCTGCTCCCCTTTCTTCACCCAGTGCCCGTAGATCCGGAAGGCACACCCGTCGATGAGTTTGCGGACGCCGCGAAGGGAGTACGGGTCTCTGGCCAACACCTCCCGAGTGAGTGGCCGAGCCCTGCGGTACTTACTATACATCCTGATACAGGCCAGAACACTCACGATCAACACCTGAGGAGAGAGGACATCAACAAAGAGGAGAATATTCAGAATAATAATTGCGTCATATATTGTTGAATAGCCTTTCATTTCATTTTCAGAATCAGAATCAGAATCAGGGTTTATTGCCAAGTACATCTACACATACAAGGAACAAGGAAATAAAGCAGAACGAGCAACAACTTAAATAATACAGTATAAGAAGATATTACAATATATAAAATAGAATTTAAAAATGTTAAATATAAAAAATAAAAACAAAAAACACAAAATGTACAAAAGGTGTAATGTAGGAGCTGTGTAATGGACTATGAGAAAAAAGAAAAAAAATCTTAGTGTGTGTAACTACTCACAGAGTGCATTTAAATTAGCTCCCACAAAAAAGTTAACATTGTTACTCACCCTGAAAGTCTTTCTTGGACTGAAGAGCCGCACATCCTCCTTCTGGTACTGTCTGAAGAATGGATGTGCTAAGGCTTGCTCTGCGGTGAGACGGACAGCTGGTTCCACCACCAGCAGCCTGGATATCTGAGCAGCAGAGAACAGCTGTTAAAACTGACTTTGTAATGTGTTTAATAACATGTCAATAAATGAGTTAAAATGAACCTCTAAGGTGAATCTGTCATACCAGATCTTTTACAGTGTCAGAGCGGTCGTCCCACTCTGGGGAGCTGAACTGATAGCGGCCCTCCATGATCTTCCTCAGCATCAGCATCTGTTTACGATGCCAGAATGGCGGTGAGCCGGCCAATAAGGTGAAAAGGATCACACCGCAGGCCCAGCTTTTTTAAAACGTGCATGAAAACATGAGCAACAATTAGAAATACTATAAGGAAAATGATTTGTAATTACGTACTGATACATTGGAAACGTTACATCAGGTAAATGTTGTAGAGAGGAGCACTCACAGATCGACCTCTTTACTGTAGCCGGGGTGCACATCATCCATTGAACACTTAAGTATCTCAGGGGCCAAATAACCGGGTGTGCCACAAAGCTCTGTTTTTCAACAAAATAGAAAACAGATTGTTTCCATACTCTCTTCTAATAACTAACATACATCAACATATCATTAACATTCAGCACCAGTCAGAGGTTTGATTTTGAACAACAGTACCTCTAAGTTTCTCTCCAGGTTCTAACTGCACTGAGAAACCAAAGTCAGACAGTTTGAGGTGTCCATGATCGTCCAGGAGAATATTCTCAGGCTTTAAATCCCGATGGATGATGTTGAGTGAGTGGAGGTACTGCACAGCCTCCAGCAGCGCTCGAACCATGCTCCTGGAGAGCGTTTTCACAAAATGCATTCATTTATTACACAGCTGTTTTAAAACGAGTTAGTAATGTGTTACCCATACTCAAAATGCTGAAAATGTAGACAAGCTGATGGGATGGGGATGCTGTCGCTCACCTTGTTTCCTTCTCACTCAACGTAACTTTTTCTGTGAGGTAGTCAAACAGCTCTCCACGCCTCATCCTGGTAGCAAAGGAAAAAAAGACATTGATAACCTCCAATATTATAATTAATAATGGCATTTACATTTTATGCAGGCACAATTAAGATCATTGTATTTTTGTTTCAATACTCACAAGTCAAACACCAAAAATATGAATGTTGTGGACTCATAGGAATCAATAAGAGTAACTACAAGGGAGGAATCAACAAGACATGAAACAGTTTTAGCACTTTTGAATCTCCACGAGCATAAAGGTTAATTGTCTTGCGGTCTAAAAGAGCAGAATTCCAACATACTGATTGAGGAGTGTCCCTTCACCATGTTGAGCACTTGAATCTCTTTAAGCGTAGAGGTCTTCACCTCCTCCAGCTGCTGAGCAGTCATCTTCTCCGCTGTGATTTCAATTATCTTTACTGCCAGCTCCTGACCTGTGTGTCTGTGCACACACCTGCGCACCACACTGCTCACACCCCTGAGACAGCAGTACATTAAGAATACAGCATGTTTATTTTGTCATCACAGTAAAAAGAGGAGATTCCTTGCTGCAGGACTCACCTGCCAATCACCTCCTTGGGGTCATATTTCTGGTAGAACTCCTTTGCCCCCACCCAGTCTGGCAGCTCATCTCCAACAACGATGTCCTTAGTCATTATGATAGCAGTTAAATCTATAAAAAAACGAAATATGTTCAGTCGAACTTTTATACAGCATGTTCTGTAACAGGAACTACTAGCCAACATATATGAGGAAGTGTTGTGTTTTGCCTACTGCGACATAAATTAGCAGATCATTTTAGAAATGTATTTGCTTCCTAAATATCTTCAACCTTTAAGTTGAAATTAACAAAATCGACCATGTTCCATCATGACAGCTAACTTAGCTGTGTCTTTTATTTGGCCTTGCTGCAGCAGCAGGTTCACTGACCGTAAAGGGAGCTACTCACCATGTGTGCAATCAAGAAGAGAGAAGAGGAAGACGGCGAATAAGGAATCAGTCAATATGTGCCATCTTAGTTAAAAGTTTCTATCGTGAAGCCATAACTGTGGCGACAGTACTTAGAGATAGTAAACAACTATGTTAACAGCCGTTAGCAAGCACCGGAGATCTGTTTACATTCTGCTCACATTCCTGGAAACAGCTTGTGGACTGTTACTGTAGCGTATTACTGCCCCCATGAGGCTGGAGTAAAAACTGCAGATTAAAAAAATATATAGTTTAATATATGTGTTGTTTTAGCGCAATACGAGTAAAGTGCAGGTTATGACACCTCAAACTAAAAAGTACCGCTAAATTAAAGCTAAGCTTGTGCTTTCTTTATTATTTCTCAATTCCATTCTGCGGAAGTGCAGTGACGTCATTTCCTGTAACTTCTCCGATGCCCTGAATTACATTTTCAGTCGCTTGTGAAGGTTTGTTGCATTTGTGTCAAAATATGGTTTATAGATTTTTTTCCATGACTATGATATGTACATATTTTCTTGTGCACTTCTTAATCGTTTCGTAATGAAAGTCTCTGCTACCAGTGATTCATACTGTGGACAAAGACTGCCGTTTAGCGGAACAGGTCTCGGAGATTAAACGTTAGCATTAGCATAGCATGTGTTAGCAAGTTTGCTAATGTCTTTAATTTTAGCAGAAATGCCTTATGTGAATAAGAGTCAGCATAACTGTACTGAAACATAATATTTTTATTTGAACTCCAGAGCAGCAGTGTTTTAGACACGTTGTATTCAAAGCCTCTTCTCATGTGATGCTAAGATACCGTTGCTAGCTGTCATCAAACGAACGCGTTATTCATTTGCAAACAAACCCGTTTTTTAACTCAAAGGCAAACATTACATGTCATGTTTGAATTATTTTAGGGGAAGGAAAGATGTCGGGTGCTGGGGGAGGGAAACGTCCCTCGGGAGGGGATAGCCCCCCTGGCCCACCTGAGAAGAAAAGCAAGAAAGAGGAGAAGACCACCACCACCCTCATTGAGCCAATCCGGATAGCTGGAGTCTCCTCTACGGTCAGTCATTTTCTATTAACTCTAAACTGTGTGTGTTTTATTATACAAGGGCTGATGCATCTAGTTCATCCCGATTATGCATGTTAAAAACCTGCATGTTCCTTCTTCTGGTGTATGTTTTGTGCAGGAGGAAATGGACATGAAGGTCCTCCAGTTCAAGAACAAGAAGCTGTGTGAGCGCCTGGAGCAGAGGCAGGCGATGGAGGATGAGTTACGAGAGAAAATTGAGAAGTTGGAGAAGAGACAAGCTACCGATGACACAACCCTGCTGATTGTCAACCGCTACTGGTCACAGGTAATTCTGAAAATGTGATTATATCTTGACCAAACCGACCCTATTTTGAGCAATTTGAAATTGAATTCAAATTGTATTATGTGAGTATAAGAATTCAGATGTCTGTTTAATAAAAGCAACTACTGTAGGCCTTCGACAACTAGAAATGCAACACTTTATCAAGCTGTCTGTGTTCTCTTAGTTCTCCACAGAAATATGTTTTTCATTCATTTGTGCACACATGTTGCCAGTTAACTGTTCTCAGACGCTTGAATTACACTGATCCTTGTTAATCTCCTTTTTAACATTTCTAGTTGAGTTTTTTACGATCCCCATGAGCTGCAGCATTGTTTTTTTTCCAGAGGATTCACCTTTACTCACATCTTTGTGTTTTTATTTGCAGTTGGAAGAAAATCTGCATGTTCTACGTAAACGTATCGAGCCAGAAACTCCAATGCCATCCACCCCCGCCCCACCCTCTGTCCCTCCACTTGACCCCTCGCCAATGGAAGTAGATGGTGTTACTCTGGCCTCGCCAAGTTCTGTGGTGCCTCCAACATCCCTCCCAGAGGCTCAGAGTGAGGGGGACCAAGCAGAGCAGCAGGAGGAACGTCAGGATGAGTGTCAGGAGGAGCAGCAGCCCCCTCTGCCTACAGGGTCTGAAAATGTGATGATGCCCACAGAACCACCACAGGACTCAACAAAAGGTAAGCAATGTTATCCAAGACCAAACTGTTCTTTGGGAAGCTGACTGCCTGGACTCTGTACTGCAATATTCTTACCACACATTTTTTAAGTCTGAGTTTATCTTTATATTATTTGAATTTAGATTATGCAATTTTGAGGCTTGTAACTCTTAATATAACATTGTTAAAGGACGAATGTGCAACTTTTTGATCCAGTAGATATTACCCTGGGCACCAGCACTAAACATAACAAACTGCTGTTTGCAGAGATCTCCGCTATTCTGAAGCCTCCACTCTCCTCCAGCAGCACACCTCCAACCCCTCTCCACTCGCACAAAGGAGTTAGAACGCACCATAATTAAGCGTCATTAAGACCAAGCGGCGGACAAAATTGTCCTTTGCTCGAGCTGCAATTGCCTGTGTCCTGCATTGTTGTGTTAGCAGGCTAATGTTAGCGCTCTTCAGTTTAACTCATAGCTTCACATTGCACACAGAATGATGTGATCTAAAGACACTTAAGTGACATCCAAATAAGCAGTGAGTAGGCTGTGTTATTCTTCTTTTCTCTAGTCCTTGACTGAAACAGCTCCCTTTAAAGCCTGGCTCACACTGCAGGATAATCGGGCCGATTTCAGCTCCGATTCTTCCTTCCCGACAATCTCAGGGTCTCTCCCGACTCCAGGCTGCTCGGACCCGATATTCTGTTCAGATTATCTTGTAGTGTGAGCGGTACAAAGATCCAATCTTAACGTCCCTGATCTGACCGGTGATCGTCGGGGACGCCCCGATTGATTTCAAACATGTTTGATATTTAGAATTTAAAATCTTGACATTTGTCATGAAAGGGTCCGGCAGAAGTTGTGTGTGACGACAATATAATCAGGAAAGACAAGGGGGGACTGTAGTCATGGTGACCAGCGGCATAACCCCGCTTTTTTTTCTTTTTTGTTGTTGTTGAGTTTTCAGTACAGATCATCAGTGCAGCACTTTTCTAAAACTTGTATCCATATATCTACGATTGTATCAACTTTTCTATATCCTACAACAAGTTCCACTTCCTTCTCTTTCATCAACCGTCGTCCTTTGATTTTTTCAAATGAAACTTTATTAACAATTGTCAACGCTCCGTCCCGATTTCACTCGTACAGTGTGAGCTCTCCGGCCGTGCCCGACAATCGGGTTGTACAGTGTGAGCACATCAATCTCAAGGTCTGGCCGGGCGTCGTAAACGATTCAGTCATACAGTGTGAGCTGACATGCCACCCCGACTTTTATACAATTGGGGAAAAATCTCAAAGTGTGAGCCAGGCTTAAGTGACAAAAAACACGGTGAAGATCAATGCTGTCCTTGTTGAATTTCAGACTTTTCTAAACATAGCTTGTCTCGCTGTGTATAAATATGCCTCATCAATAAATTGCAACATGCATGTTCTCTGCAAGCCTAAACTGTGATTTAATGGCTGTTACACCTCAAACATATCTAGCCAGTTTCAATGAGTTCATACACAGTTTTAATTTTTCAGGCTGAAGATTGAGATGAACTACTTTCATCATATGTGATGTTTTTTTACCATCCTTGTTTAGATGCCTCCCCGCCCCCGCCTCCCCTAAGTGAGAATGCCAAGGGTTTTCTCACTACCTTGGAGCACAGCAGCGAAGAGGAACTGACCCTGCACCTCCAGGACCGCATGCAGTTCAGCAAGGGAGCTGTGGCCTGCTTGGTCTGTGTCTTTGACAGACTACACAGCCACATCGACAACATGTGCAAGCAGATCCAAGCTGCAGGTAACTGTGGACACATGCTCTTTACGGACACATTAATTTAAGATAAGCGCTTTGACTCACAGATAGGGACAAAAGGAATACATGCAGCACATTTTCTATCCTACATTATTTACTGTTTCTTATTGGTTTGCATATATAATTATGGAGTTGTTGATGAGCATATATGTGAACAGGGTCCTTTGATTTGATTTATTTTTTACATTTGGAATTCCTTTTTTATTGGCAGCCTGTGAGAGTGAAAGCCAGTCTGAAATGATCAGTGAGAACCAAACTCTGCTGGAGGAGAATTGTCGTCTACGAGATCTGGCCACTCTCCTGCAGGGCAGACACCACAAAACGTCCATGGAGGTATGATGTTCTTGGCACTGTTTGTATTGCTGTGTGCATGTGAGCAATATTTGTGCATTTTTGTAAGAGAGGGTGAGTTAGAAAAAGTCTGTGAATGAAAAGGTTTCAAAAATATTTAAAAACATTTGCATATACTTGCTCTCAATGACAGATATTTTGTCATGTATTTGACCTTATTGCAGTACAACGAGTTAGTGGACAAGGTGACCAGCTCCGAGACCAAAGTGTCTGAGATGGAGACGACTGTGGAGGACCTGCAGTGGGACATGGAGAAACTCAGCAACAGGGAACAAAAGCTCAACAAACATCTGGCAGAAGCCATGGAGCAGGTGTGTTTTGTATGAAACTGTGTTGGGTTTGTGTGCTTTTTATCTGTTAGGCGTTGGCTCGTGCTGTTATTTCTCTCTTACACATGAGTCGACAATGATAAGGCTTTTATGCATTAATCCGTATCAAGCCAGATGTTGTTATTGATGACCCTCTGTTGATGCGTGCCATGTGTTGGTACTATGTAGTATTTGTTTGTTATTTTTTAATCTCTTTCCTTAATCTGCAGCTTAAATCTGGGTACAGCTGCACCGGAAGCTCAGGTGGACTACCTGGAGGCCAGATTACACTTAACATCCAGAAGGTGAGCATTCATGTCCATATAAATGTTTAAATCTTTGCATATGACAGTGTAATAAATGTTTTTATGCAAGATGTGGTCCTTCTATCTAAAAAATACATTTCCTTTTTTCAGTTTGAGAGTCTCAATGCAGAGTTGGAGCACAATCAGGAGATGGCCAATAGCCGAATGGCAGAGTTGGAGAAACTACAGGGGGAGCTCCAGGAAGCTGTGAGAGAGAGTGAGAAGCTCAAGGTAAAGTGACGACGTTTGCATTAGAAGTGGGTGTTACCCTTATCAAGAACCCATGTCATACTCTTTTAGACATGGCATTATAGCTTGTGTCCACATGGAGGAGTAACAGACTTTAAATTATTACCCTTTTAATGGCACTTTCAGATTGACCTGCGGAATATTCCAGAAGAGGTTGTGAAGGAGACTCAAGAATACAAATGTCTGCAGTCCCAGTTCTCCCTGTTGTACAACGAGTCACTTGGGGTTAAAACGCAGCTGGATGAGGCCCGGGCCCTTCTGCTGACTGCAAAGAACGCCCACCTGCGACAGATTGAGCACATGGAGGTAAAATCCATAAATGAAAGTTGGATTTTGGATAATCCCTGATACTTTCGTCACTGCGTCTTGACTTTAGTCATGTGTTGGCATGCAAAGTATTTGATTTTACTTTTTGGAAAAAAAAGACGTTGACCTGAATATTATTACATTTGCTTAGTGATATATTTAAAACTGTCCTCCTGTTTTCAACTGTTCAGAGTGATGAGCTGTCACTTCAGAAGAAGCTGCGCACTGAGGTCATCCAGCTGGAGGATACACTTGCTCAGGTGCGCAAAGAATATGAGATGCTCCGTATCGAGTTTGAGCAGAACCTGGCAGCTAACGAGCAAGCGGGTAAGTTTGAAACTCACCACATCTATCAACAAGTCTTTGAGGAGGCGTGGGAAAACATGACAGAGTGTGGTGCGTTAGTGTAAACTGTATTAGTAAATCAGCACCTGGATTTAAAGCTGGATTCTTTTTTATGTATTGCACTTAGTGTTTCAGTAAGGACGTGAGAATGAAGCCTTTCAGTTATGGTCTTGATTGGTCTAGATTTAAAATCCAGAGTCCGCTAAATCAGAGACTGAGACAGGTACCAAGTACTGAGACCGAGTAAAAATGCTTTCGATTCCAAGACGAGACCGAGACCTTAAAAAAGTGACAGATTTCGAGTACTCCTACGCTAATTGCAAAGTTCAGATATTAGGTCAAATAATTGAGTATACGTCAGCATTTTAAGATTTATCTAAAGCTGATATGACGTCCCACACTGTACAGTAGGACAACATTTTTGTTATCATTTGTTAACATAAATATTGTTGTTATGGTAACAGTGCATCCTATATCGTTTGGATTATGATGTCATGCTATGAACCACGCAGTCGAGCTCATCCGTTACAGCACCAGAGATTGTTCAGTGACTCAAAACCAAAGCACACGTTGACTGTGCTCTGTGACTGTGCTCTCTCAGGACCAATCAACAGGGAGATGAGACACCTCATCAGCAGCCTGCAGAACCACAACTTACAGTTGAAGGGCGATGTGCAGCGCTATAAGAGGAAGTTGCGGGAAACCCAGATGGAGATCAATAAGGTAGATGACGTGATTCATGGAGAAATGGTTGAGAAATGTTTTCTTCACTAATTCTTGGGACAAGGTTGAGACATTTCCTCCATGCAGCATTCAGCTGCTTAATACACTCTGATCATACAGTATGAACTTTGCACTCTGCTCTTTATTGAACTTGCTGTTGGTATGCCTCATGTAATCATGTGATGCTTTAGTTATGTATTTTAATTTTTTATTTTTTCAAATGGTTTTGTTTTTATGTTCTGTCCTCCATATGGTTTAAACGGTTGTTGTCCCTTGTATTGTGTTTTTATGCTCTCAGTGCAAGGCAAACTCCCCTTGGGGCAATAAAGGTTTAATTCATTTATTAACAAATGTCTATTTATTTACCAGTATAAAGTTTAGGGGCTAAAGACTTGTTGTTGTTTATCGACAGTTGCGTTGTCAGAGTGGCGACACTGGGGTCCTCATACTCGAGGAGACAACAAGTGACAGCATGGATGTGAAGAAAGAGGAGGACGAGGACCCGGAGGAGGAGGAGGAGAGGAGGAAGGAACTGGAGAGGCAGCGGGCCCGGGACAGAGAGAGGGAGAGAGAGGCTGAGCGAGAACGAGAGAGAGAGCGCGAGAGAGAGAGGCTACGAAATGATGAGCTGAAGAGGAAGGACTCGGACACACTGAAGATGCTCAGAGTAGAACTCAAGTAATCCTCCCTTCTACTCTAGCTGCTATCATTGATAAAAACACACAATGATTGGCCATTATCACACCTTGTCTGTCAAAGATCAGCTCTCACATGAGGAGAACTGTGTCTCTGCTCTCTCAGGGTCAATCTCACACAGCGAGAAGTGATATTTGGAGGTCAAAATCTCTGTTGCTAGCCATCGTCATCACTGTTCACTGTTCTTGTAAATAATCTTATTGTCTTCCTTACACCTCAGGAAAGCCAGGAGTCCCAGAAAGAGATGAAGCTGTTGTTGGACATGTACAAGTCGGCTCCCAAGGAGCAGAGGGACAAAGTGCAGCTCATGGCAGCTGAACGCAAATCTAAAGCAGAGGTTGGTTCTTTCTTTTTCTCCTCTTTTTTTTTTTTTTTTTACTGTTCTACTTTGCCTGTTTAAAAAAACCCCAACTTTTTCCTCTCCATTAATATTAAACATCGTATTTAAACAAATGAGAATGATTTTAAAAAGTCCTGAAACCCTCTCTCACACTGTTCAGGTGGATGAGTTGAGAATGCGCGTGCGAGAGCTGGAGGAGAGGGAGAGGAAGGAGAGCAAGAAGCTTGCTGATGAAGACGCCCTCAGGAAGATCCGAGTGGCAGAGGAGACCATCGAGCATCTGCAAAAGAAACTTGCTGCCACTAAGCAGGTAATTCATAGCTGTTTTCACGTGCACTCCTGAAAATGGCTAGATAATTTCAGGAGATTCTCCCGACCTGGCTGTGCTCCTCACAGCGGGAGAGTATCCCTGTCTGACGGGGGCGGTCGTCTGAGGTAAGGTGTGACGTAAACAAACGTTAAAAGAAAATACTAGGGGTCTGGCAGGAGATTTCTGCAAGTATGAAAGCCCTAAATGTGTTTCTATTTTAATGGATCATTGTGGAGCATGAGAGAAGAGAGGCAACTCGAGCAGGAGGCTGAGCATCTGTATTCCACTTTACTTATACTTTAACAGGAAAACAGTTTTTTTTTTTTTTTTATTTTTTTTTTTATATTTCACCAATCTAAAAACTTCAGAAAGAAATCTTCATCCTTTACCCAAATTTTTTTTTAAATTCAGCCTTTACACATACGCATAATACACACAATGGTCAAAAAACAAAATAAACAAATGCCTTGACCAATTTTTATAGTTCAGAACACCGGGCTGGCACGTAATGAGACATGCATAATCAACCTCATAATAATGCTGCTCTGTGGACTGCACCGTATATAAATATAAACAAGCCAGATGTATTGATAACTAAAGTGGTGAAATGAGTATCACATCTGCCTGAGACTGAAGTTCTCCTAATCTTAGAAAAGAAAAGAGGAATTGAAAACTGGCATTTAAATTTAATCATGCCTTATTCATTTCTGCATTTTTTGTCTTTACCTTTTCATCGTATTTATTTGTGTATTTCTTCTTCAGTTCAGGTCTCTTCTTTAATACAATGTAACTTTTCAGTTAATACCTTCTCCTCTCATCACGTCCTTGAACTGTTTCTTAACTCTGGTATACTGAACATGTTTCAGCACTAGCTGAAAACATGCTAGCATGTCAGAGATACATTAAAACAAAAAATTATAAAGAAATCTTTTGGGTGTGGCAAATCTCTTTCTGGGTGAGCCACCCCTGATAAATTCTAAGTATGTAAAACACACATGTCAGATTGGAGCTCACTTCCTTGTCTTTGCTGTCTTGTAAAGGATTCTCTTCTGATGAATTTCATTAGAAAGTTAACAAAATAAGGCAGACTGTCACAAGATGGAAAAAAGTCCAAGCTTTTCCTGCCAGGGGTCAAATGTCGGTTAAGACAGGTTCAAACTTGAGTTGTGTAGATAGTGGATACACCCACATTACCTAATGTACCTCCGTCACACTTTAATTCTTTCAGCTGATTTTAGTGCTACACAGAATATGATTGGCCTTAAAGGCTTATCAGATAATATTCATTATATTTTCTGATCTTTGTAAATTTAGGACTCTTTTTTTTTTCCTTCAGTTTGGTTTCCCGTGTTTCCTATGAACTCTGCGGCAAAGCAAATAAAGCGCTATGTTTACACCTGGCATTAACATGCAACCTGGGCGGTCTAATCACGAGGGGCTATATAAGTATGTAATTTCACACCTGGCATTACAACGCGTCTCAAGTGACCTCTTTTACTCAGACCTTCTTAAAAAGTGCAGGTCTCTTTACATTAGTGCTGCGACCGTCATTAAATAAATACAGGAAGTGACATCAAAATGTAAAATGGTTACGACTGTGCTTAAAGAAGCTTAAACTGTTGTTCCATAGACTTTAATGAGCAGGCATGAGACAGATGTTGAGATCTGAAAGCATGTAGCTCCACATGCACGGGAGGTCTAACAGAACGTGATTAAGAGACGGGAAACAGTCTAGCCTGAGACGGATTAACCCTCCACCTTTATTCTTCTTATGTTGTAAGAAGTTTTAACGGGGCAGGAGTGATACATTCTCTCTCCTCTGTCCTTTGCTTCTTCAAATAAACGTGGGCAACATTGTGGCAGAATTTAGAACCGTCTAATTAAGCTCCTTGTGAGTTCATATAACTTTTATTTACAGGCCCTAGTTGGCTTGTAAGTGAGCTGTGTGAAACAAAATGAAGGAAATGCAGCACTGTCAAATGTACAGTTGAGTTTGTAGCCCGGGAAACAGACTACGTAAATGTAATGAAACATGTCGTGTGATCAAAGCAGACGTCTGTTAACACTTCAAACTGAAAGACATAAAAGATTTAGAGCTTAATTATTGAGACATGCTGATAAGATGCTTCTTTTGAAACAGTAGTCAAAGTGAACTTCTGCTCTATTAATGGGAAAAATTATCTTTTTTTTCTTTTTATTTATGTCTAACGAGAAGTAACAGAGTTAGGATGAGCTTCCTTTTTGAACCCATCAAAGTGAAATAAGTATGTTTGTTGAAGTATTAGGGATTTAAAGATGAATCGTAAAATCATGATAAATCGATTCAAAGGAATTGAAATTGAGGTTGCACCGCCGTCTTTTAAATCGGAGGTGTGGAAGCATTTTGGCTTCAGAAGACAGAAAATGAAAGAGGTGAGAAGATAACAGACGAGATAAAAACTGTATGCAAATATTAAAAGAAGACAGGGAACTACACAAACAGCAAAACCAAAATGATGCAGCATTTAATTCACACCACAATGAGTGGGTTTGCAGCCCCTAAAGGAATCATTTTCCATCATGATTTGCCTACAGTCTCATTTTATAAAATTAATTGTGAGAGAATTGTATCATGAGTTGAGTGAATCGTTACATCCCAATGAAGTATTGATTTTTTTTAGGACCGATTGTTACCTCGAGAAAAACATGGCGACTAACCTTAACCTCAAACTGCTCTGCACACCCTAAACAAAAACTCTGTGACTGAAAGAAATGCAGTATTTGTTTAAAAGCAGCATTGTGCTGCTGATGTTTGGCCACACCTTTTTTTTTTTTTTTTTAACTGGACTCCAGAAGCAAAGTCTGTTCAAGTTTTTGATCCCTGACACCTGTGTCCCTCGAGGAGGAGGAAGCCCTGCTGAGTGAGATGGATGTGACGGGCCAGGCCTTTGAGGACATGCAGGAGCAGAACAGCCGGCTGCTGCAGCAGCTACGCGAGAAGGACGACGCCAACTTCAAGCTGATGAGTGAGCGGATCAAATCCAACCAGATCTACAAACTTCTGAAAGAGGAGAAGGAAGAGTTAGCGGACCAAGTTCTTACATTTAAAACACAGGTAAACTCATCATTTGTTCTCGAATGCAGCACTGCTAGGTTTCAGCATTAACTGTCACTCCCTCTGTCACTCTGCAGGTTGATGCCCAGCTACTGGTGGTGCAGAGACTAGAAGAAAAAGAGGGCGTCCTTCAGAGCACCCTCGCTGCTCTGGAAAAGGAACTTGCTGTCCGGACACAAGCACTAGAACTGAACAAGAGAAAGGTGAGAGCAGGGATGCCATCAATCATCATGTCGGCTCTTCTTGCGCTTAAGATTTTCTAATGACGGGATTGATTTGATTGCTGCCAGATGTTCCTACATGCGAAACCCTGAGCAGCATTTATTGTGGATCTTGATAATAGCATGTGTACTCGTAACAGTTTGGGTGTGTTCAGCTGCTTGTAAAAAGTTATTACATCCAACATTTGTGGAGCTGCTTCCAGAAAACATTGCATTAACGAGGTTGAATGTGAGCAAATTAAACCTGCAGTCTGTCCTGATTCTCTGACTTACTCTGCGAGTAGTTAAGAGCCTCCCTGTGGAGCATGTTGCTGGTAATTGCTTGTTTTGTTCAAGTACCTGTTAGACAGTGTAAATGTGCGGCTGAGTGCACTGGGTGGTGTTTGGGACATTACCTTGCTTATTATTACTGAATATATTTTCAAATCCTGTGTTGTTTTCACCTAGGAACAACCATAAGAAAAGGATTAAAACAAAACCAGAAACAAACTCAAAGGACCGCTCACTTAAACTGAAAACAGAGGTGGCCTGTAAGCAGTGAAGACCATCACAAAACATATGCTATCCTGTGGAAAATGGTGGTCAGAGCTGGGAAACGTACACAAGCTGCAGTAAATAAACATGCACAAGCTATGGCGCTGTTGTTAACATACTTGCACAACTTGCACAAAGAATAAGACCTAAAAATGCTAACTTTTTTCTCTGAGCTTACTGTACCACCATCAGACTGCAACTCAGGAATCTCATCATTACGTTATTTCTTTTTATTGAGTGTATCCGGTTCCTTCCCTCCTGCAGGCTGTGGAGGCCGCCCAGCTGGCAGAGGACCTGAAGGTGCAGCTGGAGCACACACAGGCCAAGCTCAAGGAGATCCAGGTCTCTGTGGCAGAAAACCGCACTGCTCGGGAGAGGGAGAGCAGCAACCTGAAACGATCACAGGTATGTTGCATTTCAGTGTTTGGTCTTTGACTTGAGACCCACCCCAATTACACCTGGTTTTCTGATTGGAAAGAGAGAGAGAGAGATAGATAGATAGATACTTTATTGATCCCGAGGGAAATTCAAAGCATCCAGTAGCAGGTTACAAAGACGTACATGACATGAAACATTTGTTACAAATATTGTCACAATATATGTGCAATCAAATTTGATAAAATTGAATCAATAAGGTGTTTTCAAACCGTCCTGCTCCTGACGCCCTGTAGGAGGACCTGTCCCGGCTGCGACGGAAGTTGGAGAAACAGAAGAAGGTGGAAGTGTACTCTGATGCTGATGAGATCCTGCAGGAGGAGATCAACCAGTACAAGGTGAGAAAAAAAACAAGACAACCTATTTTTTTTTTCTGGCAGAGAAATTAATGTTTTAAATCCTCCTCTGTTTATGACGAGAGCGTTAAATAAACGCCAGCAGCTTCAAGGCACAATCTGCAGTAGTGTTGTTGGGAGAGCTTAAACAGTGTAGTAAAACAGCAATACGTCATAATGCAAAATACTACACTGTGTTGTTTGCATAATTGGCTGGAAATGTGGGCTTTTTCATTCATGAGTGGGGGGCCAAAAAGTGAGCTCAAACCTCCACAGAAATATTACTGTGTGTGTGTGCTTTGGGGATATGAAGAATCTCACTAGCTACACCCTCAAGTGTGAGCACTGGTAGCGTATAAAGGCTTAATGACGTTGTTGGCAAATGCAGCATTTGGCTCGTATAGCATGTATGTCTTTATGTGTCTCTCAGGCCAAGCTGCGCTGCCCCTGCTGCAACACACGAGACAAGGAGACGGTGCTCACCAAGTGTTTCCACGTGTTCTGCTACGAGTGTCTGAAGATGCGCTACGACACTCGACAGAGGAAGTGCCCCAAGTGCAACTGCGCCTTCGGAGCCAATGACTTCCACCGCATCTACATCACTTAACTCACCGAGAGACAGGAGGAGTGGAACGAGAAGGAAGTAGACCAAAGGAAGGTAGAAGAAGAATAGAGGGACTGGAGATTGATTTAAAGACATTTTTGGGGAGTTTAGATGAGAATGATTCCCCGTTTGAAACTCTCTTTGGAAACAGACTTTTGTTCTCCTGCATCATCATCCACACTTGATTTGGTGACCAAACAGTGTGTGTGCTGTAGTTAATAAACACAGATGTTTGTGAACACGGTGATATTCACACATGTTAAGCTGCTCTGCACTGTTTTTCATGTCCTTGTTAATGTTGAACATCCCCTCTTTTAACAAACCCCCCTCCCCTCCCCCTTTTCAACATGTCTTTAGTTTTTTTTTTTGTTTGTTTATTGTATCAAAAAACTTGGAACTGCAGTGGTACATGTTTTTATCTCCCTGAAGCGTTTCTCTGAGTCGTTTTGTCCTGCTGCTTTTGTAAAACCCTGTAAAATCAGTGAAGCTGAAATTTAAACTTCATAATTAAAAGAAGCCATCCTCTTGAAAACTGGAGGGTTGCATGTGAAAAAACGCAATATGTTTCTCATCTTTAGAGTCAAACAGGCAGAATGATCTTACATCCTCAGTTATAGGCTATAGTATTAACAAAAGCCTGAGAGACGTCAGCGAGTTTGGCAGCCGGTCAGAAGCACATACAGGAGAGTTTGGATCACCTTGGGCAAAGTCCTCTGTGTGTGTTCATCCTGTTGCCATGGTTCCAATTGGAGAGTTTGACACAACATCTGCAGCTTATAGTGCCTCATTACGGATGAAATCACTGCAGTGGAAAGTCAGCTCATATGGGTGTCCTTAGCAGGCCATGCAGCTCCAGGTCTTCTTAAGCGCGCTTTTTTGCAAAGGTTACCGTGACAGTGGAGTACAAAAACATCTGTTTCACAACATGCTTCAAACCTAATTGAGCCAATGAAAGCTCTTTTTTTCCCTCCGTTCTGATGATGTGAACTATTTACTGGGAGGATGGTTAGCGTCTGTTTGACGTTAGTTCATGTGGGAAAGGCGGTTCACACCATGTAACGCACACATAAAACGTTCCAGGCTGCAGAGGAAAAGAGTGAAAATGTAAAAAAAAAAAGTTTATCAGGCATTTGGGAACAGTTAGGTAAGACTTCCTCGAGAATTGGCTGTAATCTGAATAATTTTAATACAAGGGAGGGCAGTGGATGTTCGCTCATGACAATCTGCATTAATAAATAACAAACATTCACGTTGTGCTGAGGGACTGTTTGTGTGGCACACAGCACAGATGTTGCCATAGTAACTGATGGTCTTCATTAATACATGAGACAATGCTGTGACAGAGGCCAACCTGATCGTACTCCGGGCATGCGTCCACTAGCTTTTTGTTATTGCATATTTGTGCTGCAGCAGCAGGCTACACCCTTCTCCAGGCATTAATAACACCACCCTGCGTCAGGGACACTCACTATTCAAAATGTCAGCAAAATCCGTTTTATCTCTGCAGAGGGGTCTCATGCGGACATAGATACAGATTGTTTTAAAGTTTTAAACTGTGGGTAGACTTTTCCCTCCCAAAGGTTTCAAACGCAGATTGTTGTTCTTGTGAGTGTCATCTGTTTTTGCCTGTTGCTCCTCTGCTGCGTCTGGGACCCGCACTCATGCCAGAGAATTGTGTTTTTTGGCAGAGGGGAGTGAATGACGTCGACAGGCGTGGTAATAACAATGAGAACACTATTAAATCCAGACTACACAAGACTTTAAACTGCTTCACAAAAATGTGTAAAAAAGCCCTGCAGGGCGTGGCCTTAAAAAAAACATCAAATCCATATTTTTGAAACTTTCATACCTGAGGTGGTTTTTAATTGAAACTTTCACTTGAACTTAAAGCACAATGAAAGCCACACACACTCTTGGTCGAGGAGTTTCCTGTGAATCGGGGAGTGCGCACAGAGAATCCGAGCAGTACAGTACATAGGAAATGACTCATAGGAGTTGAACTGTTAGCGTGGGTGTGTGCGCTATTAAAACAAGGCGCAGACTCCTCCGGGTGACTCACTCTGATGCTCGCTTTTCCATGCTCAAGCCCCAGCACGGATTGTTAATCAGATGAGCTTTCGGGAATCGTGTGGCCGACAGCGAGCAGCTTTTCTCCCGCAGACATCATGGCTTCAAACGCTCTCTGTGCGCTCTGCGGACTTCTCATAGCGGCGGTGACTCACTTCTACGGCGTGAGCGCACAGAAAAGTAAGTGAAATACGTTTTTTTTTATTCAATCAACTTTGAATTATTTTATTTATTGTCACATGTTTTCTCGAAGATGTGTTACTTTTCTGTTTAATTTGTAAGTTTGATTCATGCGCAGAAGTTTGGGTATCTTTATTTCTGTGAACATGTATTACAGTCCGATGGTCTGTTCTCCCGGTGATGGAGTCAGATAGTGGGTCTGCTTACAAAGCCGCTTCCTTAACCAGCTGCATTTCTCACCGGTTCCGCATTCCGATCGCCTTATTTCACCCTGTCCATCCGTGCCCCAGGGGGGAGGAAGGACCGGCCACAGGGAGAGAGGGGCGCACTGCCGGTATCCATTTTACGCAACAAGTACAACTTTCACCACCTCACAAACTCTGAGAAAATGAGCTTTTTGACTTTGTTTCCTCCGCCGCCTGAGGTTTGGATTTAATCCCAGAGGAGAACACCAGACTCAGGTTGCGCTGAGAACATGAAATCTTTGAATAATTACTCGGATCAGGACCTATTTCCTCAGGCATTACTGTTACCAAGTGCGTTTTAAACACACGAAACTCAAAACATGCTCCATCCAGAGTCTCTCCATGAGAAACCATCTCTACATCTGGACATCAGCTGTAGATCCACCCACCCCCATCTACTTTATGACAAACACAGCACACCCCCACACCCAAAAAACAACCTCTGTCAGGCTAGGTGCAGAGAGTTGCCAAGGTCGCCTGGAAAAAACAAAGCGATGACTCTAAAATGTGTTCCAGATTTAAACACGGGAACAATGAGAAGCTGTTGAAACATGCCAGACTGAATCACGTCTTTCTTACCCTTTAATTTGAGTTCAAAGTCAGGAAGGTTTGCATCATCAAGTGAAATCAGCAGGTTCAGGTTTAGATGTGGTTTGAGTTTAAAACAATGGTCAACCAGCAGTCAAGGTTCAGTTCCTTTCACTGACCTTTTGAACTCTGCAGTGAGAGTCCAGCTGGCCCTGCTCGATGATGTAAGGCTGAAGTGCTTACAAGAAATGTGACACATTTTTGTCTTTGACCGCAGCTATCAAATGAGTCAGGCGAGCTGTGCAGGCGGGCGGTCTGTGGAGGAATGGGAGTCTCTGGGGAACCCGAGCATGTGGCTTTAACATTAAAAGAGTTAGAGGTCAAAAAGCCTCTTACAGGACTCTCTGAGCAGGTGCCTTTTGGCTCCAGCTGGTTTTATAATGACCTTTACTGACAAGTTATGTCTCTAATGTGACCTGTTCTCATGCTTTTAGAGTGCTTACATTTCAGTGTTAGTTGTCGGGTTAGGTTTGTGAGGATGTGGTTTGGTTTCAGGTGAATTGATATTACAGTTTCAACTTTTAAAGGTTCAATCCAGCAGTTTAGTTTTGCCTAACAATTGAGTTTGAGAACTCACGTGTTCTGTTGCTTTCCATTAACAAATACCATCAAAATGTTCCAAGTGAACCCCCACACACTGTCTAACATGAAAAATCTTTGAATGTTTTGGATTTTGAAAATTTAAAATCTGAGAATCAAAAAAGACCAAGTACTTTGAGTTTTCTGTTGGATCTTTCATCAGAAGTACACTGATTTACACAGTTTTAAATCAATATTCATTTTGATACCGCCCTCACAATAAAAAGAACAAGTTACACAGTATGAAGGAGTTTGCTTGCAACTTTCTGATGTACTTTCCCCTCCCATCCCCTCCCCATACACACCAGTCTTTAAAATATATATGTAAAGTATATTTCTAACATATATATATATATATATGTATATATTATGTCACAAGTCTCAGGCACAAACCAAGTTACCCCCAGTGACATCACTATCATGAGAGTATGTCAAACTACAGCAACATCGCTGCAGATACATAATTAAAGTACAAACATGTCAGCCTCTCAGCTGTTAGGACTTTGTTTCTCTTTGTCTTCAGTGAACGTGAACTGGAAATCCTAAGATTCTGTGCTCTTTATTGGACAGTCACATTTAAAGCCAGACCTTGGGTTTAAGGACATGGCCAACATTTTCAAGAGCCATATCATGAATACTTAATGAAATGTGTTGCAGCACTGCAGTGATTCTAAATAAGTAAGTACACTGAAGCACTGCTCTAAGGTTCAGCTTTTGTGCTTTACTGGAGCTTCTTTTTCCAGGTCACTCTACACTTCTACTGAACAAATGTTTAACATTTCATAAATAAGGCTTAAGAAACCCCATAACAATCTCATGACATTCAATACATTTAAGACATGCCGTCAATGCCTCTCATCTTTGTGGGACTATTTATTAAAAAAGAATGCACAGTGGGCCTCCTCGTCATGTTACAGATATCTATACCTAAAGAAAAGATGTCAAAATCTGTAAAGCAAGGTTGTTCATCTTCATCCTTTTCCATTCATCATCTTATCATCATTCATATCGTCTAGGAGATTCCCAGTGTCACCTTTTTCTGAAAAAAAAAGTTATGTTCCTCTTAATGTTAAGTATGTTTAGATGGAAATACTTCAGTACTTCTTATTTGAGTTTTAATACACAGGACTTGTAATGGTAGGACAAGTCTTTAGAAAATTTGAATACTTAAAGGCTTTATATGTGATTTTTCACACCTAAATATAATATAAATCAAGTATATCCTCTGAAAATAACTCTATGAGTCATGACTGTCTACAATGGGTGTAACACCCGAGTCCCACTGTCTGTGATGTTTTCAGAGTTTTCAGAGTCCTATCTTCAGTTTGTTTACATCGCCAGGACGGCCGGCTGACTCCTCCCCTCGTGTATAAAAGTTGTTTAATTGAGGGACTAGAGAAAAGAAGAATAACATACTGTACTCACTGCTTAACTGTGTTTCTAGATCACGATCATTTCAGGTAAATTTACATGCAGTGTGAAGATACGAGCATAATAAAAATCACTAGCATTAGCATGCTAACACAACAATGCAGCGCGAGTTGTTTTGGTTTCATGTTGGTGCTCAAGGGCGACATCTGCTGGATCAAAAAATCACATATAAAGCCTTTAAAGGTGCATTATGTATAATTGGTCGTGAAAGTAGAAAGTTGGAGAAGTACAATTATATGTTATATTTTCTGTTATATTTTCAGCAGATAAACAAACTTTACTCAGAGAATAAAAACGATGTTGCGGGCCCTCCACCATAACTTCTCACTTATCATTTTATCTTCAAACAGTGTTACAGGAACCAAATTTTCCTCTGAAAACAGTTTGTGTATAGAGTTATGAACATAAACCACATAATCTCTACATTTTTCCAACTTTCACATTTCTCTACCAAAACTCCAGAGTGCACCTTTAAGCTGCAAGTGACAGTCAATGTTTAAACCACAAGTCTCTTCACACTGCTTTCATGCATTTAAAAACTGAAACATGTAGCAGATTGGATCCTTAGATCATTTGTGCAGCTTTATATGCAGCAGGCACTGTTCAAAACAACTGATATTTACGTTGAACATACATGGTGGTGATTGTTTTGTCATATGTCTATAGATATTTTCCTTGTGTCTTTCTCTGTTTCCTGGTCATGTCTGGTACCGCTTCACTCATTTTGTATTGTATTGTGTTGTGTTATAACTCTGTTTTGAAAAGTTAGGTTTGCAGTTCCTCGGCTTCATGTCACAATAGTCTTCATTCCTGCTCATTCATTTCTTCACTTTTAGTTTTGATATTGCTTTTCATTGATGATTTGATCACTTTCCACTTACAATCTATAACAAATGGCGACTCAATTTAAGCTCAGTGTGGTTCCCAGTTATATTAGGTGCAAAGGGCCATGCAAATATAAACATGACAGTGAGAAGGAAGAAAGAATGTTTTCATTTTATCTATCAAATATCTGCACTCTGCTTCCTGTTGCGTTGTCAGGGTTGGTATTGTTTCACTCCTCTTCTTAAGGTGTAATATTGTCTCTGCAGAGATGTTTTATCAGCTTGATGTAACAATAATCATTACCTCATGTACATTATATGACCTTGGGGTATTAATGCAAATACTTGTCTTAATCAAAGCCAGGATGTCTGAGGAAACCACACACTGTTAGAACACTGAAATAGTCTCCACACTCAGCTTGCTGTCGGTGTTCAATGCGTCACATCTTCAAGCTAATTCCTTCCTTATCATCTGGGAAGTGCTCAGCTCTAATTGTTCAGCTGTCTGCCTCCCGTAAGAAGAGATGAAGCTGTCCATTGTGTTCACAAACACACATATTTACTCTTTAAGCTTCTCACAGACACATTTGGTTTTTCTCTGGAAGTCAACATGTAGACAGACGCAAAAAACAATTCAAAGGAAGCTCTATGTGAAAAAACTCACATCCTGCTCTTCACACACTCTGCCTTCATGTTCACACACCAAAAGCCACTGAGAAGTTATTCTCTCACCGAGCTGAAACTTTGCATCAGCAAGTCTGAGCCAAAGGAATTTCCCAGTTTCACTTAGCGAGAAGCCACAGAAGTTCCTCACGTGTTCTGTTCCAGTCACACTCTGTACTGTGTTAGCTGAGATTTTTCCTGCATAATCACCAGGTAACCGTTTGTTTGAGTTTCATTTTGTTCCAGAGTTAGGCAATTCTTTGTTTCATCATCTCCAAGGATAACCTCTACATCATCATTTTCCAGACGGCTAAGCAGTGTGAATTATATCATAAATTATGGAAAATGTTTTGCCCCGGGCCGTGCTTTGACAAAATGTTTCCTAGTAGAAGAAATAAAAGTTACATAACTAACAGATGATTTTATTCTGTGTGCAGGTCAGTGTGGAAGTTCAGAGTTTTGGAACTCAGATTTAGATGTTTGTGTGTCTTGTTCATCATGCAAGCAGTACCCAAAGACCCCGTCATGCAACACATGTAAGACACCCAAGGCTCAAAATGTTACTTTTATTCTGCCTCTTGTATCCATGGAGCTTATGTTTTCTTTTCTGTACAAACAACAGGTAAATCTGTGGATGAAACACCTGATGTGTGGAAACTCGCAGCCATCACCAGTTTCTCTGTGCTGGCAGTCGTGCTTGTCGGTGCTGCGTTTATAATCGGGCTCATGGTGCATCGACGCAAGTCACACAAACGACCTCTACGTGGTGAGATTTCAGCAAAAATTCATTTTGGTGACTTATGAGAGGAATGAGGATCCATTATTGATGACTAAACTACTTTAGGGTTGTGTAATCCTTGAAAAAAAATGATGTCATGTCCCTGGTGAAAACTGCTTCTTGGTAAAATGAGCACTAAGTGTGCAGTTTACAGCTTGTGCAGCTGTGTCACAAAAAAACATCAAAAATGGAACAAAAATACGGCCTGTTTACTTCTTCCTCGAAAACAAACGGGCTGATTTTAAACAAGAAGTCATTTTGACCTGCCGGTGTAGGAAAACAGAGGTCGGAATGATAACATTGAGGATGGCTGCATTCCAATTAGCTGCTTCAGTTTTTCAGTTTTAGGTCCGTGGTATAGCTGCCTTACAACTTTCTTGGACACTTTAAAAGAACACAGATTTATTTAATGTTATTAGCAAAAAGTTTTTTTATTTCACTGTAATGGGAAACAATACAAATGATTTATCTCTATTGTGTACAGAACCCATTGAAGAAACAGCGGGGCCACTTTATCAAGCTTAAACATTTCAGTAAGTATGATTTTCACTTATCACATGTATTCAACCTTTACATTAAAGATTTTCCTTTTTGCTGGGTTATAGTCTGAAGTCATGTGTGTAAATTCTGAAGTGACATTCTGTAAAAAACAGCAATGACATGCACTTAGAAGCAGAAATGTTTTTAATGCTAAACCAGCATTGTGCACATAAAATGCAGTTTGTTGTTCATCGCTATCATTGTAAACATTGTTACAGTGATTTAGAGAGAGCTGAATTTCTTATCATGGCCTCCACAGCCTCATCTTCCTCTGAAAACAGATGTGACAGAAGCCATGAGCGACTTGTTCAGAGCCGCATTGGAGGAGCTTCTGGACCATGAACAGCGTGCTCTGACTCACTGCAGGATGTCTCCTCACCAGAACCGGACCAGTTTTTATTTATTAGACTGTTTGTGTGTGAAGAGACGCGCTCGGTTCTCCAACGGAACCTCCAATGAGTTACTCTCACACTTCTGTAGGAGTAGAAACAACATCATTATTAGTGGTATCATTCTCAGATTTTTGTGTGTGCCTTCATGCTCCACTTAGAAGGGACTTCTTGATGCAAAAAAAAACAAAACCTCACAGGGTTTACAGATGGCTGGTTTCAAAACGACAGTCTTTTTTCTTCATAGGGATGGATCCTTTCCATCTATTGTGCTGTTCTCCTGCAGGACTCCAGTGAATGTAACACAGCTACTGCTGCCTGCTGGGCTGCAGTTTGATCTCCTGCTATTCAGCAGGGTTTAGACGGGGTCTCTCTGCCGGTCAGTTACAACAACAGCCTCTAAAAGAGAAGTCACATCCATGAGAGTAAGACGTACTGTTAGGCACATTAAGGCCATTTGAATGTAGCTACCGTCACAGAAATGTATTCCAGCCTCATGCCCTGCCAGTACCTCTGTGTACCTGTTGTTTTAGAGAGTAGCCTGTTCCCGTGATGAAGCTGGAGCAAACTGTACTCATCCACTGTTACGGTCTCCTCGGACCATCTCTTGACTCTTTAGCATTATCATCTTTGTGTTTTTAATGTTACTATGCTTTCTGAGATGTCCACGTGTGTTTGTCAATTAACACAATCCCAGAAATCAAAAAGGTTTCTGTCCACAGAGAGCTTGTAGGACAGGATGTTTGAAACACTAGACACAAGTTCCCAAACGACTAACATGTGGGAACGCTGCAAGGAATGTACTGTAGTGAAGGAAGTGACACCTACAGTTTTTTAAGGTGGAGCCACACAAACATGATACTGACTCTGGAGTCATTTCAGAGAGTCGAGAGAAACCTGGGGGTAGAGTTGTTGTTTTCTTTAACGTCTTTTAAAGCTCAAGCTGTTTTTTTTTTTTTTTTTTTAAATGTTCAATACATGTTGCAGTGTGTGGTTCCTCATATTGTGTGTGACTGACAATGTCTGAGGTCATGTTTTGGATCTATCCGCTCGTTGGGTAAACTGTCACCCTCTGGCAGCAGAATCACTTCAAATCCTTCCTCGTTTTTTTTGTTTCTGTAGATGTTAATAGTATTTATTTTTAAAGTATCTTGCAGTGTTGTGTTGCATCACCTGCAAGTGACAAGCACACTTTTTGAGGGACTCCAGTGAAGATTGTGTTAAACTTCCACCAGGCCAGCCAATGATGTAACTGAGCAATGACTAACATTTTCAGCATTTTTTCTCTTGCTTCTTTTTACTAATTGTAAATACTGTACATGCACTGGCTTCTTTTTTCTTACTGCAATTTTATTACCTGCTTTACGTATCAAATGTATTTTCACAATAAAACTGATAACAAAGAGTCTTAAAGACATGCCAACTGCTTCATTTCTGTTTTCTAAACATACAAACTATAATGCAATCATATGAAAGAATGTGGACAAGAAAAGCAAGTCGTGTTTTCCAAGTCTTTTAATTCATTTCAACTACTTTTATTTGGAATATTTTGCTTGTACTCTAAGCTAAGCTCTAACCAAGAAGTAGAAATCTACATTCCAGTGACAAAATAGTTCTATAAATATGAATTAAATAGTGAGTAGACATTTTTCAGAACTGAAAAATCCAATAAATCATCCTTACAATGTCTTGTATGCCTTTTTTTATTACACAATAGCTAAATCTAGCAGTTTTCTCCTGCTGAAGAGAATCTTGCAGTGATCATACAGAGATCCAACTGATATTTTGACTCTAATATTTACAGAGAGAGCTCTGAGATTTAACACACGGCACAAACATTAGGCTGTGATTGTGACCAATGACAGAGGAGTTAACATGTTAAGTGCCACAGGAGGTAATAAAAATAAATTTAAAAAAGCCAGTTGAAACGTGTTGCTTAACGTGGAGGCTACCATGGCATAAGAAAATACGATGCAGTGAGATAACGAAGCCATTCTAATTAACACAGTGAAGACTTTTAAAAAGCAAAAATGGCAAGCTGTCAGGTAAGCTAGTGTGAGTTCATTTAACTGATGGACTTGATAAGACAAACAAATGAGATGCATTCAGTTTCTGCATATTGCTTAAATTAGCCACTAACTAGCTGAACTGAGGTGAACTATAAAGACATCAGACTGTTTAGACTCCTTAGGCTACAAGTGTCTCATCCACAAATGTGCAAAATGTAACTAAGCCTGCAGAGAAACATTGGCGATAAGGAGGAAACGCAAACTACAAAGTCAAACCTACAGATTTAAGCTTCATCCATTCTACTCGTCTTACGACTGATAGCCATCAGACGTTCAGTAGTTACAGTGTACTTTCTACAATTAAGCTGCATGAGGCATTACGTAGCGGCTGCTAGGTAGGCAGGGCTGAGGTATATCAGACTACTGACCAGTAACCAGACAAAGAGTTCTAAATGTGTAAGGCATAACCAAAGTGGAAGGTTCCATTGTTGTACTAAAACAAAAGGCTATGTGTTCGCTTTGCTAGATTTCTGATTTGTCAAAAATAAAAACACCACCAAGGGAAAAAAACAAAACAGGCACGCTAGACAACTTGGCAAAATAAACATAACCCTGTAAAATCAATCATTGCACATTTTTTGAGCAGGAAATAAAAAGAGTTCATGAAGTCGAACGAGATGAAGAAACTGGTTCCTTCTTGCAAATGTTGGTAGTTAATCTTGAACTTGTCTACATTACGGTTGATATGAAGGTCATGTATTTGATTTAAGATCAAGAATTTGTGATGTAAGAAATCTAATGGAGGCAAAAAAAGGACAATATTGATAACTTTAAAACATTTTGATAGTGTGTGGTGGAGAAGGTACACTCATCAGTAGATGCATTTAAAGATTCTCATAATGTACCCACACAATGTTAACGCTGTGTTCGACAGTAGAACAGTAAGAGGAGGTTTGTTGACATTAAACTGCTACAGTTGATTCATATTTGAGGCACTGGCACTTAAAACATAACTGATTCTGCTTCTCAAAGATCCAACAGCATGCACTGCACATGGAGCTGTAACTAAATCATGGAGTGAAGACCAGTGTATAAATGGCACGGGTGAAATATAAATGCTATGCTTAGTTCAGTAACTGATTATCTACAAAGTTCCTCACATCAGGTTGGTTCCTTTTGAAGGTTTTACCCTGAGCGCTGCAAACAACACAGGCCTCGTTCTCTCCCGCCTGATTTAACTGAGAAGATACAAATCGACGATGAAGCTTCTTAAAGGCTACATGATTTTTAGAAGACAGTTTGTACAACATTCATATAAAGTTATTTTCTAATAAAATATACACAGAAAATAACGGTAATAAATTAATAAATACATCCATTTTTAGCATACGATGTCACTCAACATGAATATTATTAGCAGTTTGACTATTTACTTGATATATGATTTCTAACACTTCTTCACTCCTGACCTTTAGACAAACCCCAGAGGTATTCGACTTAGAATAACAGGCCTGCCCTATTTGACCCCAAAGGAAAGTGAGCAGTCCTCCGCAACTGACGGCAAGGCTAACAAAAAGGATGCAGAGATAAATATCGTTTGAACATTTTGTTTCCTAAGGAACCTACAGAGGCACTGAATACAATTATACACAGTAAGAGAGGAGGGATCAACATAGGAACAGTACTGTCTTACAAAAATCACTTCTTGTTTTTACATGGACCTGGGCTGCAATTCTCTGTTCACTTTGGTTGGTTTGTCATTGAGGAGAGCGTAGACCATCGAACATTGTCTTTTCTAGGATCGTGTGTATTCGGTGAAAACATTCAGGCCTGACTGATAAAACACTCTGGAGACTTTCAGCAATGACACCGACTGTTGAGGAGGTAAGACTGGAAGTCCATGAAAGAAAAAGTCTTCAAAGAAGATTTTGTCAGGACCAAGGAACACTTTCTGAAAAATAAAAGTTTTACAATTCTTGATAAGAGGGCTAATGAAGAGATAAAACAAAGAGGATCACAAGGCCTCTTTTCTTTAACAGTCAGGAGTCTTCTTCAGAGGAAAGACCCTATGTCCAAGTCCATAAAGGAGTTAGCCTCCATGCCAAAAGAGTTGTCATAGTTCTGGGTGTTCTGGTGCAACTTCTGATGGTGGCGCAGGTTGGATTTGCTAGAAAAGCTCTTGTCGCACAGCAGGCAGGCAAAGGGCTTCTCTTTGGTGTGAATCCGTCGGTGACAAATGAGCTGAGTGGACACGCGGAACGCCTTCCCGCACTCCAGACACTGGTAGCGCTTTGGCTCTGTGTGAATGCGCCGGTGGTTCTTCAGAGCCATCAGGTTGGTGAACTCCTTCTGGCACACGGAGCAGGAGAAGGAGCCGGTCTTGTGGCTGTTCTTGTGGTTGAGGAGGGAGCCGGCGTGGCGGTATGTGCGGCCGCAGTGCTCGCAAACGTGGCTCTTGTCTTCTGTGCCGGCAGGGTCGTTACTCATCTGTGAATTTGTGATGCTTTCTGGGATATGAGACAAAGGTGGTGGAACCTGCTTGTGCATCCCGTCAATCCCCATGGTCTGACTTATTCCTGAGTCCCAGAGGATGTTGTTATCTACAGGTTCACCCACGCCATGTTGATAGGTGTCATCAGCCCCGTGGTGTAGTTCCTGGTGCTGCTGGTAGCTGGCCGTATCAGGGAACGTCTGCTGGCAGAGGCTGCAGACTAAAGACTGCTCCTTTGAGTGAACGTCCATGTGGCTCTGCAGGTGTGACACCAGACAGAAGGTCTTGCCGCACTCAGGGCAGCAGTGACGCCTCATCTGGGAGTGGATCTGTAGAGTGAGAGGATCAGGAAACGTCTGGAGACACAGGGTACAGTGGTGGAGGTTTTCCGAGTGAGTCTTTTTATGGTTGAGGAGGGATCCAGCATGGCGATAGGAGCGCCCACACAGGTCACACCTGCAGAAGGGATATGTTCATAATTTAAAAATCAAACATTATACTGCGACACAAATCATGTTACTGAACAGTGAAACGTATTAATCTGCAAATGACCGATTTAATAACTCTACAATTCTGTCAAAATAAAAGCTAAATAAACTTTGAAAAAGCAAATAAAACAGACTGATATTTCTTTAAAATATAAACTAAACATCATGTTCATAAGGAACATTTAAACTAGTCAGTTCCAATACATGTTCTAAGTGGGATATTTACAGTTACACAATCATTTAAAAAAAATTCACTCCTCTCTGGTGGGAAAAACTAACTCTTAACTTATCTTTTACATTTCTTCTGCCGACATACCAACAAATAAAGATTATGAACAAATACAGATATACTTTTAGTGAGCTAATTTATCATTTACAATAAGCCCTGGCTTTCTTATCAGACAGGTCAGGCTATATTTTTTTATACAAATATATATATATATATATATATATATATAAAAAATTACCCTTATGATTAATAGACAAAAAAGGTGTGTTCAGGCTGATTAGAGCAAATACTGTGCCCCCTGGATTACATACAAAGGCAATGAAAAGATGCTAAATCACAACGCCCCGACACCAATCAAGCAAATTAGCAACACGTCACAAATACTGTGAGAAGTAGGATGACTTTGTGTTGTGAAAACCTGTGAGTGTGGAGTTTTTCTGAGGCCCTCAGATTTCATCAGAAATGGTTGACCTAACTCTGATCAAAAAGCAAGCAACTCTCAAGTGGTTTGCTTGTTTTCCTGTAGACAGAGTTGACAAAGCATTCGTTGAGTTAGGTTAGGGGCTGTTGTATACTTAAAACAGCATTTGATTTTCTCACAGGTGTGAGTACATTTTGCTTTGCCTTTGGTCTGAACACACCGTTGGCAACAAAGTTTACAACAGAGATACTCACATGAAGCACTTGTCTCCTCTCTCTGCCTGCTGGATTACAGCTCTCACTGAGTTCTCTTGACCTCGGCGGCAGCGGTGCCTCTTCAGACCGGATCTGCCCTGAAAGCTCTTTCCACACGCGGGGCAGCTGAAGTGACTAGTCGCTCGGTTGTGGACCCTCTGGTGGTTGTGCAGAATACTGGCAAGGCGGAAGGCCTTTCCACACGTGAGACACACGTACTTTTTCTTCTGCGTGTGGATGCGTGTGTGATTCCGTAGAGCCATGGGGTTGGTGAAGGGTTTAGAGCAGAAGGTGCAACTGAAGTGTCCCGTCTTGTGGGTGTTTTTGTGGTTCAGGAGTGAGCCTGCATGACGGTAGCTGCGATTACATATGTTGCATGTAAAAGGCCGCTCCTCTTTGTTAGAGGACCTGTTTGTTTGTGTATCAGCGCTGCCTGAAGCTCCATCACAGGTGTGTTCTGTCAGCTGCTCCACAGAAAAGAAGGCCTGCTTACATTCCTTACACTTGAACGCTCTGGATTTTAGACTTCTCCTGCCTGCTGTCCCGTCTTTTCGATGGTCTGCACAAACATGGGCTAATAGCTGCTTCTTTCCTCTGAAACCTTTACCACAGTTTTGGCAAGAGTGCCTTTTGAATGCAAAGTGGGTGCGCAAGTGGTTCTTCATTGCCAGCTGGTTGGAGTAAGTGTTGTTACAAACAGAGCAGTAATATTCACCTGTTTTATGGGAGTTTCTATGGTTGACCAGACTTCCAGCATGGCGATAAGTACGCCCGCACTGGTCACAGGCAAAGGGCCGTCCGTCACCTGTGTCCTCCGATTTGACTGAAGTCTCACACTTTGTCTGTCCAACCTTTGCCTCGCGTGGTTGCCTCCAGCATCGACTTGAGCTGAAAGTCTGACTTGCATTTGAAGTTAAGGACTGCATTCCTCCGTCAAATTTTGTCCCATTCATCTGCATGAGGGTCTGGATCTGGTTGTTGAGTTCCTGGATTTTGGCCTGGTTCTCTTTGTGCCTCCTCAGGTGATTCAATAGCTGCTTCTGAATTTTGAAGGCTTTCCCACACTCGTGGCAAGTGTGCCTGGGGGAAAGAGACAAAGCATATTGTTAGTTCTGTGAACAGATGAGGCTGGGAATGGAGCCATAATAACATAAACAACAAAAGACACTTTGCAGTAATTATGATTTGCAACATGAGTAAAAAAAAATGTTGAATTTGACCAGGTTAATAGCATCTTGGTTGAACTAACCTTTTAATATCAAAGTGTGACCTCTGGTGGTTCTTTAGGGCCAGCAGGTTGTAGAAGCGTTTCTGGCAGACGAGGCATCTGAACACACCTGTTTTGTGGGACTTTTTGTGGTTAAGAAGGGAGCCCGCATGTCTGTATGACCGCCCACACTGATCACACTTGTACTGACAACGTTTAGCATCTATAGTTTCTTTTAGAGGAGTGGTGTCTTCGTGCTGGGCAACACTGTTAACTTTCATTTCCTCTTTACAGTGTGTCAACTCATCTGTCCCCTCAGCTGTGCAGCCATGGTTGTCAAGATGATGGTAGCTGGTGCAGAAAATCCCACAGCTGCCACAAATGATACTTTGTGCTTCCTCCTTGCCTGCAGACACATCACTGTTGTTCATCTGCAAATTATCAACATTAGCCACCTGGTCCTTGTTGTGTAGAAGCTGATGAGTTATTAAGTCTTGTCTGTTGGCAAAACTTTCTCCACATGTGCTACAAATCATCATCTCTCCAGGCTCTTCATCTTTTATTTCTTCATGGGAGGACATGGATGAGGGCCCTGAGCTTGCAGGAGTACCATGAGACTGTGTGTGACCTCGCAGATGGCTTCTGAGAGCCCTCATGCTGGTGTAGCTATTTCCACATATGGAACATTGATACAGATCCCCATCATCATCCTCCTCCTCCTCCTCCTCCTCCTCCTCAGCATCTTCACCTTCCCCACCACCATTCAGCTGACCACTGTTCAAATTTTCCTGGAAATCCTGTTCAAAATAACTTTGGTCATGGCTAACTTTCGGACCATGGTACTCTACATTACTAACTGGATTCCCAACGGCACAGTGACCATTACTTTCCTGAAAATGTATACTGCTGTCATAGTCGCTGCTAGTAGCGTCATGCTGCTGCTGCAGTAGCAAAGGGCAACTGTGAGACTTAATTCCTGCAATATCTGAAAATGTCTCACCACAGTCTGCACACATGTGCCGCTGCATCAGGTGTTCATCGTGAGGTAGATGCACTGTCATATCCTGGGAAAACTCCTGATTAAACTGCTCATGGTATAAAGCTCCATTGCTGTGGTCTGCTCCGTTCTCCTGATCCATACCAAGTGCATGGTGAGTGCCCTCTTCCCCCTCCTCTTGAGAGGACAAGCAGCTTTGTTGGTTGTCCAGAGTCAGAGGCTCTGAAGAGAGCCAGTCTTCCTCAGTGAGGAGGCTAAAAGATGACGACTGAGCTTTATGGACGCGGAGGTGACTTTTGAGGGCAGCAAGGTGGGGATAACTCTTCCTGCAGATAGAACACTGGTAAATCCCGACCTGATGGGACCTTTTGTGGTTGATGAGGCTCCCAGAGTGGCGGTAGCTTTTATCGCAGACTTGACACTTGAAGGGACGCTCATCAGAATCTACAGTTGAAGTCTCTTCTATTTCAGTTGCATCGTCTGTGATGTGTGCGTGTGTCAGGGCAGGGTTGAGAATGCTTGGGTCTACAATGATATTTTCTCCCTGAGTGCAACTGGAAGATAGCATCTGATTTTTGGAGCAGTCTGGGTACAGATAACCGTTTCTTGTAACATGCTCCTGTGGCTGATCAAAGCCTCCGTGATTATCTAAAGATGATACTGAAGGAACATTGTTTAAAGGAGATGCATAAAAACTTGACTCAGGTGAAGCAATACTGTTTTCATATGACATATTGTGGTTCTCTGTTAAGGTATCCTGAGGCCCAGATGTCAAAGATGAGGAGTTATGCATTTGTATGTGTTCCTGGAACTCCTCATCATTTGGGAAAAGAACCTGACACAAATGACAAAAATTAACAGGAGCATCTTGGCTCTGAGGTGAAAACTGGTTCAGTGGCGTGCCTGTGTATGACCCACCCACTGAACCTGGGTCTGACCCACTTCTGGACTTGTGAGTTCTCTGGTGGCTGTAAAGTGCAGCCATGTTATTAAATAGTTTGAAACACACTGTGCACTCAAACATTCCCACTTGGTGAGTCTTTTTATGATTGGTCAGGCTTCGGTGGTGTAGGTATGATTTGTCGCATAAATCACATCTAAAAGGTCGATTTGCTGAATCATCAGAGGTCTCGGACTGTAGATGATAAACAACCTCAGTCTTTTCCTCAACTGGTCTGATCTCTGCAGAATCCTCCACACTGTTGGAATACTCAGTTGGGGCTTGTGGTTGATCGTTTTCAGTTTCATCTGAGAGATATTCTGTGTCTACCTTCCTATATGACTGCTCCTTAACTCGCCTAGCAAGATGAACTCTTTCATGTGTAGCCAGCTGGGTTGCCAGGCGAAAAGCTTTCCCACATTCATCACAAGAGTATTTTTTCTGTGAATTGTGAATCCGGAGATGACTCTTGAGGGCCAAAGCATTAGAGTTTTCTTTACCACATATGTCACACTGAAAAGAGCCTACTTCATGAGTCTTTTTGTGGTTAGCTAGGCTACCAGCATGCCTATAACCACGTCCACATTCATCACATTTAAACCTGCGATCTTCCTCTTGTTGAAGGTGAACAATTACGTGCTCCTGCAGACTGGGCATGTTGGGAAATATCAGGCTGCATTGTTTGCAAGGAAATTCTGTTGTCCTGCCAGGGTCTTGCAGTGCCATTACAAGATAATTGACTTAAGTGCACCAGAAACAGTATGTATGAATGTGCAGAAGAGAAATGCATTAGATGACTTTGTAGCCCTTAGGCTAGAAAAAGAAAATAGTTCTTTACAATAAGATCCAAAGAGCGTCCAGGATGGTAATAACGGGAGGGGATGTGGTAAATCGGATCCAAAAATTATGGGAAGAATGATCTGAGTTTGAATGAGCTGTTAAAGAGAGAAATAGAGATAGTTAGAGGGGTGGTGAATACAATAACTAGTTCACAGTATCTGTTTTACGCAAAAAGTTACGTATATAATATAGTTAACTTAAGATAACCTACAATGTACTTTGCTGCACACATCCATATCAGTTCTATGGCACAATGGCAATTATCATTTAAATCAGGTAATCTTCAGAAAAATCTGACAAATCTTATACGATTAATTGCGTCATTAAACAACAGCTAGTTAGAAGAGACGCTCAGCATGGCTTGTTTTGCTACATCTCTGCACTAGCATGCTAACTGGACTAGCTATGTCAATAAACCGAACAAACGCCTCTCTCCAGTCTTATTGCCTTTGAAAATGTCAATATTCTACGGCATTATAGACAGAAACAATATGAAGCCTCGCGTACTTATTATATTATATTATATTATAAAGGTAAACACATTTATAATTAAAGTTATATTAATACAACGGACAATTCAACTAGCTGGTGTTAGCGCGCCATCAGCTAGCATGAGGATGGCTAGCTAAACAAACATTGCACCAAAACGCCATAAAGTCTTTTTAAATGCGAAAGTAAAACGTCAATCAACGCGTCAGATTAAATACCTGTAGCAGAACCGATACAATGCAAGACTCCCGAGGATATGTTTCTATTCATCAATTTAAAAACGTTAATTTTAAGAAAAGGGCAACCCCCTTTCCAATTGTCTTTTTTTCTTCCATCCCCATTTCCACATTGCTCTTGTTGCTAGGAAACAGGAAATGTGCAGCAGAGAAATACGTCCCCCCTAAAAAAGTAACTAGCTAGGTGTGTTAAAACGTACAAGCTGGGGCCATTAACTGTTAAAGGTGACACTTGGCAACCTTAAACTTCAAAAGTGTACTGTTCACTTGTACGTTCTTGTATATATAATGTTTTAACACGTAACTAAAGCAAAGTATCCGCTTTGGAATATAGACGAGTTAAGAAAGCTAGCACAGCTACAAATTATCTAAGCAAACTTTACTGTTATGCAAAGATAGCCCTTCATAATAACTATCATATTTCCAAGGGGCTTTCTAAAAAACAATGTGTGTGTTTTCCTGACATTTTTCACCTGAAACGCTGTTAAAACTAAAATGTTGCACACTTGTCTTTCCGTGAACTGTCGTCATCATGGTCCTAGAGCCGTCCCCCATCCTGCAGCCAACCAACATCAACCAACCAACATCAACCTCCGTGTGCTCAGTAAAGAGCAGCCGTGTATCATCAAGGCATTATTTACTGACATTACCCGCAGATGTTTTGATGTCCGGACTCAGGTAAGAAAGTCTCCTTTTACCTCATAACACCGCTGATGTAAGCTTCAGTCCATCACGCTTAACAACCCTCTTGATGATGGTGACGACACTGTCGAGGAGCAGCCGGTCCTAAAGCCAGCCATTTTGAGTTGGTAAAAATGTTTAGCAAGAAAGCTAACGAAAAGGCTAACGTGCAAGTCCTTTCGACCTGTTAACACCATCACACTGACAAGTGATTTTTAGTCATCTGGTAGACTCTTGCGCATGCCAGTCATTTGTACACAGTGATCTCTGTCTTTGCATCGCCAACTTCCTCTGTCATAAAAGCGGCTAGCTTATTGTCCCAGAGGTCCTAATGCCAGCCATTTTGTGATTTAATGCACACCCACATATTTCTGTAATTATTACACAGATATTTCCTCTGGAACGTCATCATCCACAGTCATTGGCAAACTTGCTCCTCAAAGCTTCTCTGTCACATGACTTTAGTCTTTTGTCTGTGAAACAACTTAACAGCCTCATCACCTCATGATGCTAATGAACTGTTTCTTTACATTTTTTCTTTATGTCTTCGCAGATAAAAAAACAAAAACATGGCCTCTCCTCAGGCTGGCAGCCCACCTCTTACAGAGCAGTACACCCCTACTGATCAGGATGAAGAGAGCCGACAAGAGGAAGAGCTTGTGAGAGATCAGCCTGCAAAAAAGCGTGGCAGAGGCAGGCCTCCGAAAGCCAAGCCTTCCTTCAAATGCTGCGAGTGTGCAGAGGCTTTCAGGAGTCTGTCAGCTCTGCGGAGCCACAAGCTCTCAGTACACTCAAAGGAACATCAGCAGCAGGAGCAGCAGCACTCATGTTCTCAGTGTGCCAAAACATTCTCCAGCAAGGCTCAGCTCTCGAAGCACGAGCGGACTCACTCAGTGCAGCGTCCTTTCCAGTGTCCCGACTGTCACAAGGCTTACAAGACGCCCACAGAGCTACGCAACCACAGCCGCTCGCACACGGGGGAGAAACCCTTCGTGTGCACCGAGTGTGGGAAGGCCTTCATGCAGGCGATATGCCTGAGGATCCACATGACGCAGCACAGCGGCGAGCGTCCTTACTCGTGCCGGCAGTGCTCAAAGAGCTACCCCACCCTGTCCAAACTGAAGGTGCACATGCGCTCGCACACGGGGGAAAAGCCATACTTCTGCGCTGAGTGCGGTAAGAGCTTCGCCGATCCCTCCGTGTTCCGGAAACATAGAAGAAACCACCAGGGGCATCGGCCATACGCCTGCGACAAATGTGGGAAAACGTACACGGAGCTGAAGGATTTAAAAAACCACGAGCGCTCCCACACCGGAGAGAAACCCTACCTGTGCTCCGACTGCGGCAAAGCCTTCTCGCGCTCCTCGTCTCTGGCCTGCCACCAACGCATTCACTCCCAGAACAAACCCTACCAGTGCGAGCAGTGCGGCAAAGGCTTCACCCAGCTGTCCTCCTACCAGTCTCACCTGCGCACCCACTCGGGGGAGAAGCCGTTCCTCTGCCCGCAGTGTGGGAAGATGTTCTCGGACCCGTCCAGCTTCCGCCGCCACCAACGAGCCCACCAGGGTTTCAAGCCCTACCCCTGCGACAAGTGCTCCAAGAGGTTCAGGCAGCCGGCCGACCTGGCCGTGCACGAGCGCGTTCACTCCGGCGAGCGGCCGTACAAGTGTCAGAGTTGCGACAAGGCCTTCGTGGCGTCGTGGGATCTGCGGCGCCACATGCTCGTCCACACGGGTCTGAGGCCCTTCTCGTGCACCGAGTGCGATAAGTCGTTCGCCGAGCGGTCCAGCCTGAACAAACACCGCCGCGTGCACTCCGGAGAGAGGCCGTTTAAATGTGAGGAGTGTCTGAAGTCGTTTGTGGTTTCCTCCAGCCTGCGTAAACACGAGAGGACTCACCTCGCCGAGCAGACTGAGCAGCAGCAGCAGCAACAACAACAACAACAACAACAACAACAACAACAACAACAACCAGAGACAGAACCTGCTCCAGGCTTCACTGCCCACACAACTCTGCCTCAGTTCTCCTGCACTCACTGTGATGCCACGTTTGAAAGCTGGGATGAAGTCCAGGCTCATGAAAATCTTCACTCCGTTGACTCAGCCCCTTCCACTCTTACCAAAGTCGTTCCGATGAGCTCTCACGTCTGCAAGACGTGCCGGGCGGAGTTTGCACAGTTGGCAGACCTGCTCAAGCATGAGAAGCAGCATCCCAAGCCGAGGCCTCACATCTGCAGTGACTGCAGCAAAGGCTTCCTCAACAAGTCGGGGCTGCGGAAACACCAGAAGATCCACTCGGCCAGCAAACCCCACAGCTGCCCCCACTGCGGCAAGGCCTTTCTGTTCGCCGCCTACCTCCGCAAGCACTTACGAACTCACGCAGACGCTGCATCCACACAACTCACAGACATGAACATTATCCACACTGACCCTCTCCCATCTCCTCCACCCCCCGGTGAGATCCCCCCCTCCACCGTGGAGTCCAGCACCATCTCCCTGACCGTCCCAGTGACCGTTCCTGTAACAGCTTTTCACACTCTGCCGGAGTATTTAGTCAAAGAGGAGGGTCTTTAAGTTAAGACGTTTACTTCTGCAGAGTTTGAATTCCTCACAACATCTAAAATCTTTTAAGATGACGGGGTCTGATTTGTCAGAGGTGTTAAATTTGAAGCAGAATGACGTCTCCTTCATGTCAACTGTCAGCGCCTGGTCACTGTTTTGTCCTGATATTTTAAGTGAGTTACATATTGATCATGTTTTAAAATACTGTATGTATGCTTTAAGTATCCTACAATGAAATGGTCACATGTTTTGTAATCTCTTCATAAAATGGTTTGCCAAACATTTATTCTGACAACTTGAACATCTCACTTTTAATGTTGTGATTTCAGGTAAACATATATTTTAAATATGTTTTTTTATTTACAGCTCGTCTTAAATCAGCATTCCTTGAACTTACAAAACCATTTGTATCTGTTTGACTGTGTCTTAAGTATCAACCTATAATGATCTAAAAAAAGAGTTGAATAAAAGTCTGTTCCATTCTAAGATATCTAATCTGAGGAAATGATGTAAGATAAAAAACGTGTCTTGTATAAAATCATCTTACTCATTTTGTGTTTTATCAGTCAGTCAGTTTACAAATGTTAAAAACAAACTTAATCAGGGAGCAGCAAAGTGCTGATAAGGTAGAATTAAGTGAGCTTTCGTCAGCACATCCTGAGGTGAGAAACAGTTACACATATTTTGATGACATTTCTGTCACTGTTAAAAGGCTGAATGCAAAGTGAGAGCGACATCATTCAGTCAGCTGCAGCTCTGAAAGGTGAGTTTCTCTGATCTGCTTCACCTCATGAACCACTTCATTGACAAACAGCTGTGTGTGTGTCTGATGAGACGTTTGTGAATACTTCTAATAGTGTTCATGCTTCCCTCATATCAATAACTGGTTTATGTTGCAGACTGCATCCTTTAGGGATCACAAAATTTTTGTTGTACACATTCACAGAGGTGTACGTTTGAGTCTAATTACAATACAATGTATAGCATCCTCTCTTACTTCTCCTATATGACACTTCTGAGGATTTTAAATGATTTTTAGTTGTGCTGGACTAACAAAACTGAACACATTCAAAGGAGCGAATGATTGGATGATTATTTGTCAATTGACAATTATTCAGCAAAAAAGTAAAAAAATAAAAATTGTCATTTGTTGTTCACCTACATTTATTATTTCAGCCCTATTTTTTTAATTGTACTGTTGTAATAAATTTGTATTTTTGAAATTGGTTTGTACAAAAAGTATTGTTGAGGTATCAATAGTCGCTTATTTTAAAGCATATCTCACTGTTGACAGTTTTTTATAAACTAATAGGTTAACTAACGGAGAAAAGAATGAGCAGGTAATCTTCAAGTTTCAGTCGGTTGACCCGAGGTGCTGAAATGAACAGGTTGAGCCTGTTTTTAGCTTCTATGCTGCAAACACACAACCTGTTTTCTTGTCATAAATTTAACACAAATCTAAGATTAAGAAAAACTCTGAATCGTTCTGTATTTGACTTTCACTTTGTATTGTAACTAATAATTTTCGACTGTAAACTGCAGTGTAACTGCTGGATGTTATTTCATACCATTTAATTTGATTCTATCTTAATTGATTTTGTACCTGTTCACATTTTATTGCATGTTTTCTAATGTTTCTCTATAGAACACCATGAATATCTGTATAAACAGAACTGCCTTACCCTGCAGTCTTATACAAAACAGTTTAAAATGAACTCTGCCTCAACCAGCAATAAAATCCAGTTTATAGTAAAATAATGTCAGAGTACTCAAAGTAAAGTATTTTTTACCTTAAATACATGTAATCGGTTATACGTTTTGATTAAGTCACATTGAAATGTAAGACTGTTATGGTAACGCAGCAATTTCTTTTTGTGGTTTTAGTAGACTTCAACTAAGTGGAGCTGCCTTTGAGCTCAAGCTTTGAATTAACATGACATGCTGAACCTACAGACAACTGATCTCCACCAATTCAGATCCACTGCTAAAGATTAGTTTCCTAAAAGCGAGTACATCACATATTAATATGGAACATGTAGGCTATATGTTTCCAGATGCCTCCGGGTTAATGTCCTTGTTAAGTTTAAACTAAACTGCAGGACTTGTAGGAGGATAAAATGTTAAGCTGTTCCATAATATTCATAAAAGCAACTCACCAAGTCAAGGACCCTTGGTATTTTGTTTAATCTTAACAAAACTACAGGTTCATATTCATACTCATAATGTTAGAGAGGTTAGGTAAGAGTAGGATGAATATATGATTGTCAGAAGATCATTTTGACATCAAGAACTCAACGTTCAAACATTTCAATCAATCAATCAAAAGCAAATGTTATCAAATTAATTAACCAGGCTGATGGGGTATTCCTGAGTTTAGTTTATTATTCTTAGATACAATATTCACAATGTTTCACAGACGTATTGGACAACTATCACATAATCAGAGTCTGTTTTTTCTGTAATCTCAAACTAATAGAATACATAATTTGTTTCCTTGTCTAAAGATAGTTGTGGAAATGTTAAGAGTAAGTAATCGCAATTTTGAATAGCCTATTGTTAGTGTTCATCATATCTGTTTGTGTTTGACTCTGGTCCAGTAAAAAGAATAGTTGAGTTGACATTATTCAACAGTATTTCTTTGAGTAGAAAAAAAGGAAACAACTTTGATCTGTGCTCTTAAATAACAATTTGAAGTAAATGGATGAGTAGTTAATAAAACGTGTGCTTTGTTCACTTTTTCACAAGTTCTCCACGATTAAGATTCACGACTAAAATCCTGGAGTGAAGATGGCTGCGTTAGTAACGGGCCTGATCCCCATCCTGCGCACGGCCGTGGATGCCACCACCACCTACAAGTGCCGCTCACTGTGGTTCGGCTTCTTGTGCATCCGCTTGGTGATCCTCTTCCTGGCCGAGCTTCCTTTCACCAAAGTGGACGCCGACTTCTCCTGCAACAGCAGCAGCAGCAGCATCTGCACCCAAGCCTGCTTTAACAGACGCTTTAACAAACCCATGTTGGTGGCCTGGAACTTCATCTACGTGCTGGTCATCATCTCTGTGCTGCTCATGGAGCTGTTCACCTCACACCTGCGCTCCGTGGCCCTGAAAAGGAAGGTGAAGGCAGAGGTGGAGATGGAGGTTCAGGGGAAGGAGGCGGCGGCTCCGGGTGTGTCCACAGACCCAAAGAGCAAGACGGTGCTGGACCTCCACAGAGACAGAGGCTCAGTGGGCTTCTACCTGTTCAGCATCGTCCTGCGGATCTTGATTGAAACCTGGTTTGTGTACATCCTGCTCTCCTGGAACCTTCCAGCTCTCAGTGATGATAAATTTAACTGCTCCACAGACATCTGCCCATCAGCTGTGTGTGTTCTGAGGGCTGCACCAGAGAAACGCATGTCTATTTATGCTTTGGCCTCCATCTCTGGCATGATTATTGTTGTTTCAGTCTTATTCTGCATGTACGCCATTGCTCATTACCTCTGCAACTTTTAAATATTTATACTCAGTCTTTTCCTTTACAGTATTTTAATTAGGGTAAATACTTTGGACTTTGGAACGACCTCCCTGAGGAGATAAGACTTGCAGATTCCCTCAATTCTTTTAAATCCCTTCTTAAAACATACTTTTACAGACTTGCTTTTATGTGATGTCGTCTTCTTAATGTCTTCTCTTACTGGTTTTACTATTTTTATCTTCTTTTACTTCTTACTGTCCTTTTATTTATGGTCTTATCTCGTATTTATGCTCATATCTTAATCTCCTCATGTTTTAACTTGGTAATTTCTTATCTTACTTACTTTGTCTATTGATGTTTCATATTTATATTTACTTTTTATTTTGATTAATATTATAGTTTTGGGTTTTTTGATCCTTTAACCACTTGTTTTTATTTCTTTTACTGCTCTTAACCTTCTTATTGCTGTTATCTTTTTATTTGCTTTTATCTCTTAGTTTCTTACATATTTTTAAATCTTTGGTCCTCTTGGTCTCAGCTTGTGTTGCCTGGGTTCTTATGATGGTTCTTGTGATGGTTCTTGTGTTGCCTGGGTTCTTGTGATTGTTCTTGTGATGGTTCTTGTGTTTCCTGGGTTCTTATGATGGTTCTTGTGTTGCCTGGGTTCTTATGATGGTTCTTGTGATGGTTCTTGTGATTGTTCTTATGATGGTTCTTGTGTTGCCTGGGTTCTTATGATGGTTCTTATGATGGTTCTTGTGTTTCCTGGGTTCTTATGATGGTTCTTGTGTTGCCTGGGTTCTTATGATGGTTCTTGTGATGGTTCTTGTGATGGTCGGGTTATATATGGCTGTTGTGGATCATGCACTATGGGTTCTTTTCTGTTGAATTGTATTATTTATTTTTAGTATTTTGCATCTGTTATATTCTTACTGTTGTTTATGTTCTTCTGTGTTTGGTTTAGTTTGTTCTTGTTTTTGCTGTTTGTCAAAGCACTTTGTAAACCTGTGTTTTTAAAAGGTGCAATATAAATAAAGTTAATATTATTATAATTCAGTTTATAAATCATTTGACTGTTTTTTGGTTGTATTGTTGGAGTGCATACTGCATGTTAGAAATGTGTAGTTTATATCTTTGTGTGGTTTATGTGCTATGTTGAGCTGAAGTATGTCGTTAGAAGCGTTCTTGCTGACACACAGTGTGTTTCTCACTCAGGTTTTTTTTTCTCTGGTGTTTTTGTTGATGCAAAAACACAAATTCTGTCAAACACACCCATGTACATTGTTCAAAGCCTCAGCAGTTTAACGCCGACAGGAATCCAGCTTCACACAGATCTTTATTTAACATATGGCAATGTTTTCTGTTTATATGCTATGTATTATTCACATTGTGGAACATTTGAAGGGTATGTTTTTCAGCCAGATAATCAAAGTCAAACAGCATATCCTTGAGCTGCTTCCAACGAGCTAGAATTTCTGTTTGTTCTTCAGAGAGATGGACTTCCTGTTGCAATGCTTCATGGTGTAGAGCAGCGCTGCACCAGCATCTGTTAGGGACTGAAAGACGGGAAGCAAAGGAAGATGTATTGAAAGAGCAATAAAATACACACAAAATATTTCTGTATTTAAGACAAGACAAGAGGAATTACCTGTGAGTCTGAAATCACAGATTTTCTCTAGAAAGAAAAGAAGTATGAAATGTTAAGTGTTGGGACTCTTTCATAATTTGAAGCAGTAAATGTGATCAAACTAGCGTGTTATCTCACCCTGGTGAAGTTGTGTATGTTGTTGTATATTGGCTCCATCGTTTTAACCCATTCTTGGTACGTCTGTTTGTCCTCTGCACTGTGATTATGCTCTCTGGAAAAAGAGACATCGTCATCAAATCAATTAAAAACATTAATTCAGAAAAAAATGTTTGATATCAAATTGAATCTGAGTAATAAACATGGTGTCTAATGTATGCAGAATCAGCCCTCATTAAATCTGTTTGTCAGCATTAAGTTGCTCTTTTTCTCTGTGTTGCCCACACACTAACGTCAGTCAGAAAAACTACCCCCCCCCCCCCCACGCCTCCACCTGTAACTCACATCGCTCTTTCAATCAGCTTCCTCTGCGGCTCGCCTTCCTTCAGGGCATCCAGGAAGCGTCCTCTGAGGGCCAGAGACGCGCTGGCCTGCGACGAGTTGAGCTGAATGATGGCCAGAGAAAGAGAGGAGAGGGCCGCCGAGCTGGAGAGGAGGTTTTTACACTTTAACTTGAGAGAGTGCTTCAGCAGCTTACAGCCTTTTTTATCGTGCTCTATTATTGGCCTCTTTGTAGGACGCTCAGACTATGAATTGCTCGACCTTCATTTGGTACATGAAGCTTTAAGCGCCGAGCCAAAAGGTTCATTTTCCCTGTGACTAAATGTTATGAGAGATGGGATTTTTTTTTGTTGGTGGTGCTATCATTTTCTGCATGGTTCGGTATCTCAGCAACAGCCAGTTTCCTTGGATTTTTGAAAATACTTTTGCCTAAAGGTTCACTGAGATTGGTATAAAATAACACATCTAATCAATTGTTGTCCTCAGGACGAGAACGCCTCGTTGATTTAAGATGTCACAAGATAATGACTTGTTTCAGCTTACAGCGAGGCCACACAGTATGCAAATAAATCTTTGCACAGTAACAGTGGAGATTGTGTGTGTGAGTCAGTTACAAACACAAAAGTGAGAGAAAGATTCTTAGAAGTGCATTTTCACCTGTCATCAGTGACTACTCGGTCTGATGTGATCACTCTGAGCATCCTCTGCCCGTTCCGATGCCTGTACCTGACATACAGTTGGATGAACACACGGCTACCAGAGGCTGGAGCTGAAACACAGGACAGCGAGAACATGTTGCTTTTTCACCTAAAATATAATGCCATGGCTTGGTTTGGTAGATTTAGAAGTATAGATTTATCAAATATTAGGTCTTGGTTCTCAAATTGACCCATAAAAAAACACATTTAACTATTCTGATGCCATCACCTCCAAATACACTCAAAGTTATCCCAGATTAGGTTTAACTGCTGCAGAACTCATATGTGACCATCAAGTCAAGATGCCCTATAGAAGAGCTGAACTACTTCTGTATTTGTTGAACTATATCTGACAGCCATGCTATCAGCTCTGCAGAGCTGCACAGAGGCACAGTGGTGCACAAAGGTCAACGCTAAGATGGTCATGCTTATATTGCTAACAATGATGAGGTTTAGCAGGAAACATGAACCATGATTTATCATCTGACTGTAGGGTGTTTCAGTGCTCGACTTTTCAAATTAGAAAGTAACACAAACTGTCCAGTTGCTGAGAACTAATGGGAAATATTTTTTCAAGCCGTTTGGTATTTGACAAATTAAAATGACAAAAAGGAGGGGATTACCAAAGTTATAAAAGTGTAACCAGAGAGGTAAAGCAAATGTTGTTGGGGAGTTTCCACCAAATATTTGTCTGACAGTTGGACAGACCGACATTTCCATCCCTGATGCTGAGTAGGTAGAGCAGCTAAAACGTGAACCTGGTCTTCATTTAAAGCTCCTGTGCAGTGTTTTTTTTTAATGATTATGAAACAGTCTGTAATTAATACTGAAGCCTCTTACAGACCTACAAAAGCAAACCATCAAAGACATGATCACATATGTGTATTTAGTTACTTTGAGTTATGGATGAAAGCATTATTTACCCATTTAAAGGACACGATCAGCAAATAGGATGTACTTCTTTGTCCTCAAGGGGACACAGAAATCGACGCAATATGAAAGTCCCTCTCAGGAGTTTTAAAAATTAAAGTTATTTCAAACTGATAAGTTGTATTTCTTTGTGTGCCTTGACAGTTCCTGCAGCAGTTTTGTCAGACAAATGGATTCACATTCATTCACCCCCAGATGGACATTTTTAAGTAATGAAACAATGACAAAAAATGGACTTCCATTTGTGCCCATGCAGCTTTAGCCCTGGGTTTTTTTTTCTTTTTTTTCTTCAATCCAGGTGGTAGAATGACATTTTCCTCTCACCTTCTGCGTCTGATTCATTGGCTCCAAACTGGAAGGTGATCTCTGTGTGTGGGGCTATGTTCCCCACCTCTCTGGTCCCTTTGTGCCCGGACTCCCTCTCTCCTCTGACACACCTGGTGAGAAGAAAACAACATTCAAAAAGCTTGTGGGTTTTATTGTTTACTGAACAAAATGAATGTTATTGTGCTATAAAAATGCCTTAATGTTAGTATCTCAGGTTTGTACAGTGCAGATCTTACAGCGACTGAGGCAGCAGTAAAGTGACAGTGCAATGTGTAGCAATGGTCCTGCTGTTGATTATGTGTTCAAACTCTGAGTGCAACTTGTTTGGACTTGCTACCACCACCTATGAGACAATGAGACACAGAACAAAACAACAAGATCTGATTAGTTTGTTATAAAGAAAAAGTCCCTTGATTTGCAAAATTAAAAAAAAAATGCATTGAAGCTTTGCAGAACTGTGACGGGGTCCTCTTTCAAAACACCCAAAAATCTTAAAAACACAGGCATAAAAAATGCATAAAAAAATGCAAAAACACAAAGAATTGTATTTAAACTATTTACAAAACAAAAGTCTTCCAAAAACAAATTTCCACATAAGCAAGCAAACAAAAAGAGAGTCTCCAACACGTTACCTCCTCTGTAACCAGGACTAGACAGCCTGAAAGCAGCCATCTTTTAAAGCAAGAAACCCCTCCCACTGGACGTTATGAATGACATAACATTGTAAACAAAACACACTTTCTCATGAATGAGCGATTTTTAACACATGGCCTACTCAAGAACATTTCGGTATCGTCTCTTTACCGTCCCTCCTGTGCGATCAGCGAGTCGTCCCAGCTCATCCAGCCTGCAGTCCGTCCCCTCTATGGACAGCACAGACACTGTCACACTGATGACAGAAGGACATTTCAGTGAATTGCAGCAAAAGCAAACACAACACACCCCTCATTCTTTTCTGACACCTTATACTTATTAACACTATTCCCAGCCTCAGGTCTATTTCTGTTGGTGGTGGTGCAACAGCATTTCAATCAT